ATAATGGAGTTTTGGTGGAGGAATACTGACTGAATTTTCTGTTACAAGGCTTATAAAACTCAGAGCCATTGAAAGAAACAAAACACCTTGCACCTCAGGAGAGGTCCCCAAACATCTCAACAATAATAGTAGGAAAGCCAGAAGTGAATTCAGACCTTCACCTGGCTTCTGAGAAAAACCGTGTGGTTGGCTCTGGTGCACTGAAGCATGATGGGGATGAATGCCTTAATGATTCCTCTGTTGTCATACCTAGAAAATTAATTCCACACAGTGTTCACTGACAGCTGCACTAAAGTATACGCTGCTTATAAAAATTAACGTCAGGGGCTTTCTAAAAGTTCCTGTAACCAAGCCAGTAGACCAGCAGGCCAGCATGCAAGGGAATATTAGCCAGAACCTTAAGTACGCACATTCTGGCGCCACCTAGTGTCACATGGGAGGCCGGCAGTTTTAAGAAGGAATAAACCTCACCGCAGAAGTTCGCACAGGGAGGAGTGAATACCTAAGGGTTCTGGAAATTTAGGGAGAGGGATGGAGTGGTGCAATAGAGAAGTAGGGGAGGCCAGCTCCTGATGGAGGCTCGATCAGAGCCATGCGTTTCTGGCAGTGAGGTGGCAGGTGACTTGTGGAGTAACTCTGCAGTGGAAACAGCCTGACTTCTGATGGGGTCTGAGCCCCACGCCTTGTCACCCTGGGATTCTTGGGTCAGACCAGACAGCGCCCTCTCACAGGAGTCACCTGGGATGCTGTGCCTGCGACACGGGTTTCTACAGAGACACCGGTGTAGCGGGTTGGAAACCGATACCGTCTTCTTCATAGCCATCCCAAACGCTGAAAAGGCATAGAGAAGACGCCGTCCGCGCGGCCCGGGCTGTTAAAGAGAGGTGTGTGTGACATCTACCCAGCCGGTCCTGCTACTCCCCTCAGGACTGACAGCGCGGGTTCCAGTGTTCTCTCCAGATGACCGCGTGACGTCAGCGCGGTCGCCCATCTCAGCTGCTTCTCTCAGATGACCGTGTGACTTAAGCACAGCCGCCCGTTCCAGCTGCTACTTCAGGGGACTTTGCGGCCTCGACACCCTCAGTTCCCTGCACCTTTGCCTTCAGGTCTCACAGCTCCACTGAGCGGACAAGAGGTTGATCAACCGGGTGCGTTTAGGAGGCTGAGCCTCCAACACTTCCACCGGAAGCCCGTGCTGCCACAGCCAACTGACCCCGCCCACTCCCACTGGTCCATCTTCCCAGCGCTGTCCACCCATCAGGCTCAGCACCTCTTATTACTCCATTTATGGGCCCTGCCCATTCTTTAGCTGGCTCAACTGGCTTCTCCAACCCTTCTTCTAGCCCATCCTTTCTTTTTCCCACCCTTTAGCTCTGCCAATCCCTTCTCCCCCACCCCTTAGCCCCGCCCTCCCTCAAGCCCCCCCATCTTAGCTCTACCCCGTCTTAGCTCTGCCCATTCCTTCTTCCTGTCCATCCCTTGAAAACAACCACTACTTCAGCTGAGCCCCTCGCTTAACCCCACTTCATAGCCCTGCTCACTTGTCTAGCCTGTCCATCTTTTCTGCTTTTTCGCTGCCTGCACCCATCTTGAAATCTCTTTTCCGCCTCATTTGCATGGTGTTGCTGGGCACAATTAGAATCACATCCAACACAGCTCAGCCCAGCCAATACTGCTTCTGTTTCCTCTTCAGTCAACCAAGCCCACCTATGCACCTGGCCCCCCTCACACCATCAGCCTCCCTGGGAGCTCTTTCCAGAAAGAAGACACAGGACAGGTGTCATGGGATTGCTAACAGCTGAGAGAACCTGGGCTTTGGGGAATCCTGGGCTCCCACATCAAAACTTGGGGTTGTCCTCTCAGCTCTGACCAGTCTGTCCCATCTGCAAAATGTCTCTGCTGACAGTACTGGCCCTCTCATAATGATCTTTGGGTAACCTCAATCCGTTCTGCAATTCTCTTGCAGCACACATGCAGCACTGGAAGTCAGGGCCGCAGGTGGGCACTCAAGCAAGCACGGGAAACTAACTTGAGGGCCCGGGATAAGGGAAGTCCCTGGGCCACGTCCGATAGCAGAAGCTGGGCTGCACCATGTGGACTTGGTGCCAACCCCTGAAGTGTTTCCTGCACACTGCCGCCTGTGAGTGCCCGCTAAGCCTTCTGCTGTTCCTCTGTCACTGCTCAGATTCTCAGTCTCCAGAGAGGGTCTGATTGGCCAGGTGTAGGGGTTTGGATATGTGTCACATTGAGCTAGGTCTAAAAGGAACAGAAATTTGATAAAGCAGGGAGGAAGGGATATTACAGACAGAAGGAACAGCGTGTACATCACCAGAAAAGGGCCCCGGCCATCTTAGAACTGTGCAAGCCGTGCTAGGCCAGGTGCTTGCCTGGTCCAGCAATTCAGTGTCCCCGTCCAACTAAGTGGATATTACAGAATTCCTTGAAATTTTGTTGAATTATTTTATTAAAATGCCAGAAGCAATTATAAAGAATTGAATTATATGTAGGACCATATCATCTTCATATGAGGATATTTTGACTTCTTTCTTTCATGTTTGTATCCCCTTGATTTCTTTTCCTTACCTTACTGCTTTAGTAAACTCTGAATCCTGTGCTGAATGGGAGGGGCAGAGTGAATATCTTTGTCTTATTTCTGATTTTAGTGAAATTTTTGGAATTTTTCTCCAAGATATACTCTGTGAGATGTGTCCTCTGTATCCTTAGATTCTTCAGGACTTTTATTGTGAAAAGATGTTGCATTTTGTCAAAGGCCTTTTTTTTTCTTTCTTTCTTCCTTCCTTCTTTTTTTTTTTTTGCATCTAATGAAATGATCATGTGGTTTCTGTCCATGAGTCAAATTATGTGGTGAATTACATTTATTGATTTATGAATGTTGAACCATTCCTGCATCTCTGGAAAGAAGCCAACTTGGTCATGGTAGATAATCCTTTTGATGTGTTCTTGCGTTTAGTATGCAAGTATTTTATTGAGAATTTTTGCATCCATATTCATCAAAAGTATTGGCCTATAATTTTTTGTTGGGCCTTTGGTTTTGGTATCAGGTTAATACCAGATTTGTAAAAAGAATTTGGAAATGTTCCCTCATTTTCTATTTTGTGGAATAATTTGAGGAGTACTGGTGTTAGATCTTCTTTAATGATCTAGTAGAATTCTACACCAAATAGCTCTGGCTCTGAGCTTTTTTGGACTGAGAGGTTTTTAATCACCACTTCTGTCTCATTAGATGTTATGAATCTATTTGAATTTTATTTCATCTTGATTTCCCTTTGGTAAGCTGTATATATCTAGAAATGTATCCATTTCTTATAGATTTTTCAGTTTGGTGAAATACAGAGTTTTAATTTTTTAACTTTATTTTATGTGTGTGGACATTGCACCTGCATGTATGTCTATGTATCATATGAGTTTCCTGGTGCGTATGGAGGCCAGGAGAGGCTGTTGGATTCTCTAGAAGTGGAATTATAAATGGTTGTGAACCACATGTGGATCTTGGGAATTGAACCCAGGAACTCTGTAAGAGCAGCAAGCGCTCTCAACTGCTGAGCCGTCTCTCCAGCCTTCCTCTTTCTTTTAATGAATTTGGCTAAAGTGTTACCAATCTTGTTAATCTTTTCAAAGAACCAACTCTGTTTCATTGAGCATTGTGTTGCTGAGGACACCACATACTTGAGTCATAGAATGTAGGGAAATCAAGCTGTTACTGACCTAGAAGTTTCATCCCGACTGACTACCTTTCATGGATATGGAAAGGCCTATGCACATCACCACAGGATAAAGTCACTAATTTTGTATAGCTGTGAACCCTGTAAACTACAATGCACAGGCCAGGGAGACATGCCTGCTGGTGCAATTTCGGCACAAATGCTATGACAGTAACCCACCACTTCCTGATTAGACTCAGGCCCACTCCACAAGTTGAAATCTATACCTAGCACAATTATCAGGGCTAACGAAACTGTAGGTAGATAAGTCATAGGCTCTGAGGGAGAATCTAATACTACTACTGTGCTAAAGGAGCATTTTAAATCACTTCCTAAGGACAACTATCCACAGATCAGTGTACTACTCAAACCTCGTCCCTCAACAATCATCATTCTTGTTGCAGTAGATGGAGATTAACACAGAGACAACTGATCAAGATAAAGAGAATGAGAGACTTCAGAATACTCAGCTATAAATGGGACATCTGGCCGGGAGGTGGTGGCACATGCCTCTAATCCCAGCACTGAGAAGGCAGAGGCAGGTGGATCTCTGTGAGTTTGAGGCCAGCCTGGGCTACAGAGTGAGTTCCAGGACAGGCTCCAGAGCTACGCAAAAGAAATCCTGTCTCAAAAAAAAAACCCAAAATAATAAAAAGATAGATAGATAGATAGATAGATAGATAGATAGATAGATAGATAGATAGATGGATAAATGGGACATCCACACCTTTCTCCCACGAGCCAGGGGCCATTGCAGAAGGAGGTGAAGAAAGACTGTAAGAGTAAGAGGCAGGATGACTAAAGGTTTTCCCTATGCTGTAGAGTGGTTGCACACACAAACTCCTGGCAGTTGGGACAACATGCACAAGATTTTACAAGCTCAAACCGACAAAATCCTCGTATGGAGAGGGAAGATGGGCATGGAGTCTCAGCACTAGCTAAGGAGCTTGGTAACTGATAGCTGCCGGAAGAAGAAAAGTCGGTTTTCTTTAAGGCTGCAGCTCCAGGTAGGCCAACCAGTGGAAGACCAGACATCTACGAGTGTATATGCAGCACAGATTCTGCTTGATGGCTTTAAAAACAAAAAAAGAGGGGCAGGAGAGATGGTTCAGTGGTTAAGAGAACTGACTGCTCTTCCAGAGGACCCAGGTTCGATTCTCAGCACTCACCACAGGATAAATCCAAACTGTAATTCCAGTTCCGTGGGGAAAGTTTGGGTACCAGATACATATGTAGTGCACAGACAAGCATGCAAGCAAAAAATCCATACACATAAAATAATTTTTAATTAAAAAATTTATTTTAAAAAAAGAGAACATGTGGTTGGGTGAGAAGGGGAGGGGCTGGATCTGGGTGGAGTAAGGGGAGGGAGGTGAATATGATCAAAATAAAGGGTAAGGAATTCTCACAGAACTAATAAAAAAAGAAAAAAGATCTTATAAAAAGTATTTATAAAAAATTAAAATTAAAAAATAATTCAAGCTCTACTGCAAACGTGAAACAGGAAAAGGAATCGTTACCTCAACCCCCAAATTTGTATTAAGCAGTATCGTTCCAAACATGTGTATAGACATAATATGGAAGGAAGAGAGGATGAGAATGAAAAGATGAGGGTGAGGGTAGGAGGGAGGCAAGAAGGGCAGGGGGAAGGGAGGAAGGAAAAGAAAAATAGCAAAGATTATGCTGAGTGTGCTGGTTTAAAATTAAATGTGTGGAACTTATTCTCACTCGAATCTAATACAAGATAAACAAATTTGAGTGGACTGAAACAGTTACTCACTTTACACGGGTTTGTTACCCAATTGCACACCTGTCACAAGATGTCCCCAAGATGATGGACACTAAGAGACATCAGTCCTCTCCCTTCTTGGGTTGCATGTTCTGATTGATCTTAGCACTTACTCTCTCTGTTCAGAAGGATTTGGAACTCCAGTCCCTCCTGCTTCTTCCATGCCTGCACCCAACACACTGCTTCAATGGACTTGGCATCAATGCCCAGCTCTGCCATACCCCTCCCCTTGGACGTGTCATCCTGGTCTTGGTTCATTTGAAGGCACTGTCACCATCCTGACCTTGACTTTCCCTGTCTGAGTTCTTTGGGTCTCTCTTAGTTGTCCAGCTCTGCTTCATAGATGGGAAGTGCAATGCCTGTTCCATGTTCAGATGCCCCCAGCAAATCAGAGCAGCTTGGAGATCCTGAGAAGCATTTGCCAGATCTAGAGACAGTGCTCAGGAGAGCCATAGAAGCCTGGGGAGCCTGGGCTTGGGCATTGGCACCTGGAGGAGAGACTCTGCGTGTGAGCCTTCTGAGGAGTTACAGCAGCCTGAACAGGGCTCAGGAGATGGCTGGGCAGGTGTGGTGCCTCTCTCCCAGCCTCTGAAGGGAATCAGTGATCTCGAATGTTAGTCCTCTGGCCTAGAGATTTATAGTCTTTGGACTAAGAAAGAAATGGAGGGCAATGAGGAAATGGAATGCTTGGTTTCCTTTCACTAGGGAAAACAACCCAAAACTCAGAGATTTTCCTTGCCTTTGGAAAAACAAGCCCCAAGGTGGGCAGTATAGGCTGTCATGGTGCTCACCAGGCCATCATGGACCACAGTCTTCCTATTTCCATTCCATAATCTTACTTGAGAGCTCAGAAGGGCATGGAAGGAGAGTGACCCAAGTGGCGGCTTCCACAAGTTTCCAAGGACAAGAACCATCATGGCTACTTCAGCCTGTAAAGAATGATAGGAAATACAGTTTTTATGCTCAAACGCCAGAGAGCAGCTTTGTCACCACAGTAACCGATAGCTGCTCATCACACACTTGTCTACAGTAACACTCACTTGCTTACAGACACCTGTTCTGAAGTGACCACCAGGGGCCAGGCACACAGCTTCTTGCAGAGTGTCCTCTGGTGCGGATACACAAAATCAGAACTCACCTGCTGACTGATGAGTAATGGGGGCTTTGGCAGGCTGCAAAAGGTCGTTCATGTAACGGAGACTTTATATCCATGATGACCAACTCCAGAGCTCTGGCCATTAACAAGTACTCCACACTAGTGGCTACAACTGAGAGCTTCCTCCTCCCCCAAAACCTTTACAGAATCCAGTGTCTGAGTACTGATCCCCAGGGCATTTTATCTCAGCTGACTGATGTAGCATCCAGGTAGCAGGATCAGTGTGTCTACATTATGATTTAACCCTCACAGCTACTAGAGATAGAGTCTTCTTTATCTGCATTTAAAATCAGAGAACTAAAACACAGAGAGGTGGACTCGCCTGTAGGTCCTCAGTGTATCTGGGATGTGTTTGTACCTCTCCCCCTCTACAAGCTGTCTGTTCCTCCAGGACACAGCACCTCCATAAAGCAAGAACAACACAGACCAACCTTTTAGCCACACCAGCCCCAAGTGCTGCCTGGACTTGAGGGGCCAAGATTTTGGCAGATACTAGATGCTAAATGGCTTGGGAGATTCAAGGACGTGGCTGGGGGCCCAGTCCTACGAAGGCAGAGTGGCCTTACAGAGTTGGAAACTGGAGGGCAGATGTGCAGGCAGTACCCAGGTCAGAGCCCCGAGGAAGTCACACGACCAGCGTCCCAGGCCTAACCCTGGACACCTGAAGGTGGGAGAGGAAGGAGCCCAGACCAGAAAGTGACCTGCCTGGAACAGATATTATTCAGAGGAAGACCTTGGAGACAGGAGTGTGATAAGAATCTTTCACCAAAGGTGACCCGGAGTCCATAGTCAGCTGACCAGTGCCAGAGAGGCCATGCATGACCATCACATTCAGACGCATCTCAAAAGTCCTGGCTCCAGTGCTCCACATGAGTGATTTCTCAGCAACCCTATTGTAGGATGGCCTTGGGCATGCCTCCTGCTCAAGGGGCTCAGGCCATGGATGGGAGGTGAAATGGGAGGCACTTTTTCTTGCTTCCAGCTGCCCCACACAGCAGGCCACAGAGCCTGCCATGCTCCATCCCACACTGCCTGTTGTACACAATCTCACAGGTGGAGCCTGAGGGCAAACCTGGCCTCCAGACGAATACCTCTGAGGTGCCAGATGGTCTCATCTTTCCAGTGGGAAGTAAGGATGCTGGAGTAGGCAGGCACAGTGCTCGGGATTCCAGAACAAGTTGGCTAGAGGTCTGCTTGATCCCACACCTGCCCCCACTCCCACCCCCACCCACAGGAAACAGCATCTGACTTTCTGATGGCCTTCATCTAACTTGACAGGGGACTGGGGAGGAAGGTAAGAAGCCTTATGTGTGTGACCAAGGCCACATATAAGCCTTTCCTATGCCAGAAAACTCTGCAGTCCACATAAGCACACACACAGGCCTAAGAGCACAAATTTGTGTTCTGTAGTTAGTGTTAAATGACCCAAACTATAGTCTTCAACTTCAAGTTGAAATCCCATTTGCTGAGTGGCCCACTGATGGACTCCCAAGCCACACAGATGCACCAAGTTTCTTGGAAATCAACAGAGATTTCAGCTGAATGCTGTCAGGGAAGTCTGGAACCACCAGCCTGACTGAGGCTGCTCCTGCATAGCATATTGGGGTTGGATCAAGTCTGGAGAACATTTTAGTGGTCCTACTGCTCACAGGTATTGCCCCATTTGCTTAGGTATTCTTTACTTTCTTTTAATTTCTGTGCAATTTGGGGGAAAAAATTAGGTACATGGTAAATAAGCCAATGGGTTAAAAGCAAATGCAAGCTGGAATGATGGGGTAAGCTGCAAACCACCCCAACCCTGCAGAGGGGAAGTGAACAGAGCCCCTCCAGGCCATTGAGGTGTGTACCCCTTCAACACTGAAGACCACTCTCCTCTCTGCAGAGCCCAGAGCCCCAGCGGTTTGGGGGTTCTGTTTTTTAAAGTGGGTAGGGCCAAGAATCTCTTGACTGGTGGTCCCTAGGCAGGAAGGAGGCTTCAGTACTTCCCAGCCATCTTTAAATGAACAGCTGCTTGGTGAATCCACAGCCCTCCCCCCTCCCCCCGCGTCCACTCCCAGAACTCTGGCTGCTGGCTCTTCACCCTTGCTCTGGCCAGAGATTAGTGGCCTCCTGTCTCTCAGGAGACTTTGAGAAGCTCCTAAGACAAGACCTAGGACTATTAATGAGGGGTCCCCAAGTAAACATAGCTGGTGGAGTACGTAGTGGGGCAGCTCAAGTCCAGCTGTAACAGGGGTGTCGGTGCCATAGAGCAGCTGCCCAGGAGTCCAGGTTTTCCCTGAGACAAAGAAAGAACCAGACACCCAGGGACTTAGAAAATTCGAACAGCTGTTTACTGAGGTAAAGAGCAAAGAGCAGAACATTCTCTGTCGAGAAGGGTGGAGTCTCCAGGGTTGGTGGACTGTCTAGTGGACTCTGGGTTGGTCTTTTGTAGGGCCCTAGACGTCCCCTCTTTGGATTCCCGTTTTTTCTTTCTCCCATCACTACATCTCCTTGGCCAGGATGGTCCTTGACTCTAAGAGATATTCCCAGCTCCCAAGTAGGAGTGTTGTCTCTCTTTATAGTCCAAGCACTGTGTGAGAAGTTTCTCTCCTGCCCTGTGTCCTCTTTCTTAACTGCCTTTTCCCTGCTAACTCCACCCAGAGTGAGCCCTAGGTCCAAGCTCAGAGCTTTGGGGTTTTTTGTTGTTTATTTGTATATGTGTTGTTGGTGTCTGTGTGGTCTTTTTTAAATTTTTCCCTCCTATGTTTTATGTTTTTATTGAAAATAATTTTTCATACATTTATTCTGATCACAGCTTCTGCTCCCCCATGTGTTCTCGTACCCTTCCCATCCCCCACCCCCATCCAACTCCTCATCTTTTTTCTCTCTATCTTTGGAAAACAAATGGAAAACAATGACCCACAATAAAACAAAAACAAAAAAAATAGAAAATTAAAAAGGAAAAAGCAAAAAAAAAAAAAAAAGGAAAAAGCATGAGAAACATACACACACACACACACACACATCATAAAATCACAAAATCAAAACCATAATATATAAGAAGAGATTGTACCAGGCTTTTTTCTTTTAGGCCACAAATCAGCTCTCAAATCATGACACAGAGACTTACTAGTTTTGAATGATCAGCCTAGCTTAGGCAGTTTCTGGCTAGCTCTTTTATTTTAAATTAACCTGTTCCTCTTTCTTTACCTTTTGCTCGGGTCTTATTACCTTTCTTACTTCTGTGTATCTTACTTTCACGGCTTCTCTATGTCTGCTGGCTGGTGTGTGCCTGGTTTCTTGCCCTGAGCATCTCTCCTCTCTCTCTCTCTCTCCTCTCTCTCTCTCTCTCTCTCTCTCTCTCTCTCTCTCTCTCTCTCTCTCTCTCGTTCCTCCCATTCTTCTTGATCCTAGATTTCTCCTCCTATTTATTCTCTGTGCCTGGCAGCCCTGCCTGTCATGTTCCTACCTAGCTATTGTTATTCAGCTTTTTATTAGACCAGTCAGGTGCCTTAGGCAGGCCAGGTAAAACAGCAACGCTTCCTTACATAATTAAGTAACTATGGCATAAACAAAAGTAACACAGCTTTACACAGTTAAAGAAATATTGTGCAGCATAAACAAATGTAACACATCTTTGCCTCGTTAAAATAATATTCCACAACAAAATACCAGTAAGGCTAAAAAACAAAACAAAAAACCACCCAAAGCATTATAAGACCAAAAAAAAAAAAATCTCCAAAAGTACCATTGAATTGAGCTTGTTTTGTGTTGGCCATCTACAGATGGCATGGGGCCTCAAGTGTGGTTTGTCTTCCCAGTGAAACTCCATTGGAGACAACTAATTTTTCCTTTGTGAGCAGTTGTCAGCGGTGAGAGCTTCTTGGTAGGGAATGAGGATTCATGTCTGCTTCCCCTCTCAGCACTGAGGCCCCATCTGGCTTGCACCTGTGCAAACCTGTGCACGCTGCCACGGCCTCTGGGGGTTCAGATGTGCATCAAGTCCTGCTGTGTCTGGACTTCCATCCCTACTGACTCCTAGAGTCTTTCCACTTCCTCTTCTGCACAGCTCCCTGGGCCCTGAGAGGAGAGGTTTGAGAAAGACACTCCATTTAGAATGGAGTGTTTCAAGGTTTCTCACTCTCAGCACATTTTCCAGTTCTGAGTCTCAGTTTTTGTTCCCATCGACTACAGGAGGAAGTGTCTCTGATGGTGGCTGAGCGACACACTAATCATGGACATAACAGAATGTCAGTAGGAGTCATTCTATTCTCTGCTCCTTCAGGAGGACAGTAGTATTTGGTCTTCCCCTATGTCTATGGCCTATGTAGTCTCAGATTCTTGGCCACCTGAGCAGTGTCAGGCATAGGTTCCATCTCACAGAGTGGGCCTTTAATACAGTCAGACAGTGTGGTTGGTCACTCCCACAACTTTTGTGCCATTCTGCACCAGCATATCATGCAGGCAGGTCACCATTGTAGAGTGCAGGGTGTGTAGTGTTGTGCCCAGGTCGCAAGACCCCCAAGCAAGACCACCACAGAGCTAATATCCGATGCAAGCACACAGAGGTTTTTAATAACAAAACAAACAAGCTTGGTCTGCCATCGAACATCCACCACAGCGGGTGGAGGAGAACGGCCCTGAGCACTCACTTTAAGGGGTTTATATAGGAAAGGTTTACATGCAGCTTGGGATTGGACGAGGGGGCTAGGGGTGAGGTAGTTCTTTGAAGTTACTGGCTGAACTATAAGCATGAGGTTACTGATGGCTAACAGGATTCAGGGTATCTACAGAGACATAAATTTTTACTCCCTATATCCTACTTTTGTTGAACCCAGGATATACACATTCAGGTTTATTGTTCCAGTCCTACTCTCCTCTAAGGTCAACTTCTGGTCAGTTAAGCCTATTACTCCGCACATCTTGTTTTGCCAAGTCCAAGATACATAGATTTATTGTCCCAGCCTTATAAGTTCAACTTCTGGTCACTTCTAAAACTGCTGGTCAGCAAATACCTTTGGAGGAGTGGGCGGGGAAGCATCTCCCAAGATGGCTACTGATTTTTTCCTTTCAGTAACTGGACTGACATTTAGCTTTCTCCCTGGTAGCACATGGACTACCTTCCAGTACCACGAACACTAGTCCGAAGGGGTGACGGCTCTAGGTAGGCACCAGTTCAACTTCTCCAGGTTCAATGAGATACGTAGGTGTTGTCTGCAGCAATAGGGCTGTATGGACTAGCAGTTTGTAGAGAGCAACCAAGAGGCTTGGCAATCAAGCAAACAAGCAGCAAACTGAATTGTTTGTTGCATAATAACTCAATTAGCTGTAACATTTCTGGCCCTGGAGGTTGCATTTGGTGGTGAAAGATGTCCATTTGGGGCTTTGTTCTCCCCCATTATTTGGTGATTCCATTTATATTTCTTTCATATATATATATATAAAGAAGCTTCTACTGCAGCAGGTCTCCATATGACCTCTCCAATGGCCCTGTTAGCTGTCTCTCACCATATTCCCTCCCTTACCCACTTCTTTCCTCCTGTTTAATTCTCCCATTCCAGTCCCCCTCCCATCTCTCCATAACTATATGTTCTTTTTCCCCTTCCTTGGGAGATCCCTTCACCCAATCCTTTACTGTATATCCAACTTCTATGATTATGCAAATAATAGCATTCCTATCAAAGGCTTAAAAGCTAACATCCATATATAAAGGAATATATACCATAGTTGTCTTTTTTGGTCTGGGTTACCTATTTCACTTGGGATGATTTTATTTCTAGCTTCATCCACTTACCTGAAATTTTCATGATTTCTTTTATTTAACAGCTGACCAATATTCCATTGTGTAAATGTACCACATTTTCTTTATTCATCTACTTTTGGACATCTAGGTTGTTTCAAATTTCTGACTATTAGGAATAAAGCAGTAATGAACATGGATGAGCAAGTGTCTCTGTAGTAGGATGTAGAGTCCTTTGGATATATGCTTAAGAGTGGTATAGCTGGATCTTGAGTTATATCCATTCCCAACTTCCTGAGGAACCACTACACTTATTTCCATAGTGGCTGTACAAGTTTGCACTCCCAACAGCAATGCATGAGTGTTCTCTTACCCCTACATTTTGCCAGCATGAGCTGTCATTTGTTTTATTGATCTTAGCCATTTTGACTAGTATAAGATGAAATATCAAAGTAGATCTAATTTGCAATTCCCTAATAACCAAAAATGTTGAACATTTCTTAAGTGTTACTCAGCAATTTCTGTTTCAGGTTTTCAGAATTCTCCGTCTTGTTCTGTATGCCATTTTAATTAGGTGATTTGTTTTCTTGGTGTTCAGTCTTTTAGTTCTTTATAAATTTTAGCTATTAACCCACTATCAGATGCATACATTTGTAAAGATCTTTCACCATTCTGTAGCCCACCACTTTGTCCTAATGATGGTGTCCTTTGCCATACAGAAGCTCTTCATTTTCATGAGGTCCCATTTGTTTTTGTTCTCAGAGAGTGAAAGCCTGGTCCTTGCATGAGCTTTTGAAACCTCAAAGCCCACCCCAAGGAACGTACTTCCTCCAACCAGGTCACACCTCCTAATCCTTCTAATACACAAATAATGCCAATTCCTTGTGACTAATCATTCAAAAATGTGAGCCTATGAGAGCCATTCTTATTAAAACCATCACACCCCCTCAACAAGTGTCACATCAGGTCAATGCCACATAGTGACCCCTAGACAGATCTCATCTTTGTTCTCCACAGACACATGCAGATAGGCTGCCATTTTTAATAGTGAGGAAACAAAATCAAGGACTTCATTAGCCCAGAGACACACAGAAAGTCAGGCAGATGGAGTCACGTTAGTCAGTTTTGGGTCATTATGACCAAAAAGAGACAGAGGGGGAGACCATCTTTATTTTGGCTCATGGTTATAGAGGCTTTGGTGCATGACTGGGTGGCTCCGTTAATTTTACACTTTTAGTAGAAATGGCATGGCACAAAGGCAGGCTAAAGGCCACAGCAAGGCAGCAATAAGAAACAGAGGTTAAGAAGGGCCGTGGACAAGACACATCCTCCAAATGCTGCCTTAGTTAGGGTCACTATCGCTGTGATGAAACACCATGATCAAAGCAACTTGGGAGGAAAGGATTGATTTGGCTTACATTTCCACGTCACAGTTCATCAAGGAAGACATGGCAGGAACTCAAGCATGGCTGGAACCTGGAGGCAGGAGCTGATGCAGAGGCCATGGAGGGGTGCTGCAAACTGGCTTGCTCCCCATGGCTTGCTTGGTCTGTTTTCTTATAGAACCCAGGACCACCAGTCCAGGGATGGCACCACCCACAACGGGCTGCGCCCTCCCCCATCAACCACTAAATAAGAAAATGCCCTACAGGCTTGCCTACAGCCAGAGCATATGAAGGCATTTTCTCATGTGAGGTTCCCTCCTTTCAGATAATTCTAGCTTGTATAAAGTAGACATGAAACTATCCAGCACAGCTAACCTTTTGTCAACGTGACACAAACACATCACTGTTAAGCCGCAATCTTTCCTTTCTTGATCATCCCCAAGATCACACATTAATAACACTACAATATAAAATATTTTACAAACTTAAAAGTTCTTTTAGTCTCTACAAATTCAATCTCTTTAAAAATCCAAAGTCTCTTTTAAAAACCTAAAAATCACTTTTAAAAATTCAGTCTCTCAAGTGTGGGTTCCTATAAAGTCAAAAATATTAAATATTTAATGACTTCAAGAGGGAAGTACCAAGCCACAATCAGATCAAAACAATGTCCAATATCTGGGAATCACGATCTTCTGGGCTCGTCCAAAGGGCTTGGTCACTTCTCTGGCTCCGCTCTCTGCAGCACACACAGCTTGTCTTCTAGACAGGCCGGCTCCACCCCACTGCTGCTGCTGTTCTTGGCAGTCATCCCATGGAACTGGCATCTCCAGAATGCTGCGGTCTTCTACTGCAATTGGGCCTACATTTCACCAATAGCCTCTCCTAGGCTCTCTTCATAGTGCCAAGCCACAGCTGCTCTCCATGACCCCTTCATGCCTTTAAAACCAGTACCGCCTGGGTGACTCTTACACTACCAAGTTCGGCTGCCAGCACAAGGTACAACCTTGGCTACTTCTGGAACATAGATTCTGTGTGCTGACTCTTAGGAAACACTTCCCAGAAGATTTCACCTCAGTGATGCTGGTCTTTTCTTAATCACTGCTAATTTCTCAGCTCCAGCTGACAGCATCAATTGTCCCAGTAAAGCAAAGGTTTCACTTCAATAGTGCCAATTTTTGTTAAGTCAGCCCCAGCTACCCAGGCACTGCAGGTTCTTCACACATATGGCCCTAGAGAGTGTTTACTTCCTTCTGAAACTTCACGCCAGGCCTCCATCATCTGCACTGCTCCCAACATTCTTATCTCCAAAGCCTCTACAGAATAGCCCACTTGAGATGTCAACACTCAACAGTTTTCTAGTCCAAAGTTCCAAAGTCCTTCCACAGACCTCCCCAAAACACATGGGAGCAATACCCCATTCCTAGTACCAAGTTCTGCCTTAGTTATGTTACTATTGCTGCGAACTATCCAGCACAAATGCCACCCCAAGTGACCGATTTCCTCCAACAAGGCCCATTTTCTGTCTCCACTATCCCTAATGGTACCATCAAATCATGAATTCATCAGTGGGTTGACCCTTCAATTACTTCAGAGCTCTCATGATCTAATCACCTCTCATGACTGGATCCACCATCTGGGGACCACACCTGAGGCACATGAGCCTTTGGGGAGAGTCTGAACCACCACACTGTTAAGAGACGTGTTCTCATCTGGCTCTCCCCACTTCGAGCCCAGGCTTTGCCAACCCCAACCACTGTAAGGTGGTCCCAGTGAAGAACCAGTGTCTTCTGTTCAAACTCTCAGTGTCTCACCTGACTTTCCTGCTGCTCCCTTCAAGACACTTGTTCTAGAAGGTGGGAGGATCTTCTGGCCCAGAGGAGAAAAGGGAGAAAGCCTAAATCTAGGCTTAAGGATTTGAGCAGCGTGCTAGGAATTCAAGCTCCTGAACAACCCTGGCTGGGGCATCAGAAACAGCCCTCTTGGCTTTCCGGACTCTTGAACATCTCCTGAGAGTACTGCCCAAATTCCAGACTGCTCACTCATCTTGCTGCCTGGCTCCTCTTCAGTTTCTTTCTACTCTCTGTCTCTCTCTCTGTCTCTCTCTCTGTCTCTCTCTCTGTCTCTCTCTGTCTCTCTCTGTCTCTGTCTCTCTCTCTCTGTCCTCTCTCTGTCTCTGTCTCTCTGTCTCTCTCTCTCTCTCTCTCTCTCTCTCTCTCTCTCTCTCTCTCTCTCTCTCTCTCTCTCTCTCTCTCTCCCCTGTAAGATAAGGTGCCCCAGCAGATCTCCTGTGCCGTGCTGGTATACCTGCCCTCAGCTGCTGTGAGATATATCAGCAGCTACCCTGTCACTGATTGTGACCTCAGAGGCTTCTGACCTTGCAATGGGCCTGTGCGGCCTGCTGACCCTAAGCCATGGGGTTATGGCTCCCTTGGTGGCCTGGCACCCAGAACCATGGCCAGCATCAACCTCTGTGGTGTCACTTAAGGCTGTGTATCAACGTGCAGCTCTGCTGGTTGGCTTGCTCCCAGCACACCCTGGACCTGGGCCTCCCATCTGACCAAGGCTTCTGAGTGTGGCAGCAGAGCCCAGCCGTGGGGCCCCAGCAGCTCTCCCACTTGCAACTTCCTTGGAAAGAGCAGTTTTGGGGCTTTGTGATCCAAGTCCTAATCCTTGTCACATTCAAGATTTAAGCTAGGCTGCCTTGGTGAGCTCCAGTAGCCTGTGTGGACAGCCCCATGACCGTTAGTGGAGTTACAGTTACTGCTGTTAAGATGGCAGTAGAGATGCCTGGAATGGGTGTCATGGAGTCAAGCGGTTCCCTGGACTCTGCAGTGGTCCCTGCCCCAGAGGGAAGCAGCAGTGACAGGACCATCCTTCAGATGGACGGCAGATGGCTGGGAGGGACTCCTGCCACCGTAATCATTCAGGGTTGTCTCAGCTATTCTGGAAGCCCAACACTCCTGGCTGTTGTTTTTGGGTGGACGCAAGCACAGCAGTTCACCTGCTGTCAATCTGTCTTCCCTTCCCACGAGAAATGAGGCAATAACGGGGTTCTCCATCGGCGGGGAAGTCGAATGAACTCCTGCTCTTGCCTCTGCTCTGGCAACCTCCTCTTGTTCTCTAGCCATGACTGAGGGGAACACAGCCTGACAGCCTCTGTGATGGAATCAAGAGGCCCGAAGAAGCCCCGTCGGTATAAGAAACGTAAAATGAAGAGCCAGGAGAGATTCATCAAGAAGTTTCCTTTCAGGTACGAGATACCTAGACACTGAGGGCTGAACCCCGTTACAACCCCCATATTGTTCCCAGGTCCCCAGAACACAGGTGTTCTGAGGAGCTTGGAGCTAGGAGGAGAGACTCTAGTCCATGGGGTCCCTTAGGAACAGTGTGCTGTGGCCTACAATCTGGCTCTCCCTCCTTCACCTGCTGTCCCAGGCCAGGTAAGGCAAAGGGTGGAACCAAAGTTTTGCAAAGCACCGAGTATGAGGCCAGACACATAGGAAGGTCCAGGTGTGAACGCCTGTAGGTGGCTGACGGCAGGCACTTAACCTCTCAAGGGCCCTTCTAGGTTGTCCTGGTTGACGGAGCCCAGCACAGCTTACCTCCAGTCTTGGAAGGCCAAGAGCAACACACTGAAGGACCAGCTGCCCTTACAGAAGAAGCTGGTGCCCACACGGTCCATTCCTCCCCCAGGGTAAGTTCCTGTACTTGGCTGCCCTCAACGGCCACACACAGCAAATGTCTCATTGACATCAGGGCCACCCCCCCCATGGGGAAATCTCAGCCACCTGTGGGCAGGTCCTCTCAGAGAGTCAGCAGACACGTAACTACAGTGCTTCATCCTAAAAGAGGTGCAGGAAGCAAGAGGTTCCCCCAGGCTGCAAGGGCTGCACACAGGCATGGTGGATAGGCTGCTCCATCCTGGGGGACTTCAGGGATAAGTAGCAAAGGGTCTTCTGATACCCCAGTCCCACCCCAATGCCTCAGACCAGCCACTGTGAGAAATTAGTTCTTCCCCCAACGGGAGGAGCAGCCAGGGCTCGGGAGTTAGGAAACAGACCACGTTAGAAGACCTGAGCAGGATGCAAGTGGAGAAACCCCAGCCCCATGAGGGCAGCCTCGGCCAGGAGGTAAAAGGGGAGCCAGTCATGGGCCCTTTAACCAGGACAGTCTTAGATTGAGGACAGTCTCTGGTGGGGAGGGAGGAGGTAGTCTCAGGTGGTGGTAACCACAGAAGAAAAATGAGCGTGACTTAGCTGAGCCTATCAACCAGCATAGCTCACCCAGCGGATGGGTAGGACTAAGGGATACCCTGAGGCCCAAGAAGCATTTGAAATCTGCTGTGTCTAATTTGGATTTCCAAGGCTGGACAAGCAGATGGCAGGAGGAGTGTGTGGGCCACTTCCTGTGCCTCTCTGGTAGCCATTGGTTACAGAGGCTGCGTATGGGGCTGGGACAGGCCTGGCTGGAGACATCCTTTAAGAGTCTTCCCAGATAGGGCCCCGTCTTCCCTGGCTGCTTGGAACCTGCAGGGTTCCCTGGGTCAGGTGGTTCTGTGTGGCTTCTCTAGGGCTGGAGCTCCGGAATTTACATCACCATTCAGCTTCTCCTCACAGTCTCCACAGCCTCCAATATGTAACCTCTGGGAACTTAAATTACTGAGCCTCCGTTTCCCTAGACAAGACCTTGGCAAGCCGCCTCCTCCAAAGGCTGGTGATAACCAGCCCTACACCAGTGGGACTTCGGGGCCATCTGAGAGCTTTCCCTAAACATCTACTCTCCATGGCTCCTTTCTCAGCCACCTTCTCTCTGCTCCAAGCTGCTGCCTCAGAGACATTTGTAAAGGGGAGCAGCCTTGTACGCCACCAAAAACCAGGAGTGATCCATCCCCCACACCAAAGACCATACAGCACCAATAAACTTCATAGGTTCAAATCCCATTTCTGCTCAGACTGGTCAATTTGCCTCCAGTTTCTCATTTTTAAAATGGGTATAATATTTAATCACGAGGCCTTGGAGTAAGATTTAAAAGAGCAAAGGACACTTCTAGAATTTTATCCAAATACATGCACATGTAAGCCAAGGTATTGGGACAATAAAGGTAGTCATTCTAGTAGTTGGAAATAGCAAGGGTAGGAGCTAACACCCGTTAGTAGTCACTGCTGATGCTCACAGCCACACCTACGATCTTAGGTAGCCATTAAAAGAGCAACCATGCATTGATCTGGAATGGTATATAAAGAATAGAAATATTTTTAAAGCATAGAAGTATCTGAGAAGCTATCTTGTGTATATTAAAAATGTGGGGTGTGTGTGTGTGTGTGTGTGTGTGTGTGTGTGTGTGTGTGTGTGTGTGTGTGTTGCCTGCAAGGGGACATGTTGGCATGTGAGGGGACATCTAGAGGGAGCATAATAGTCAGTGTCTCGTTTGAGGGCATGTGTTTGTCACCATCATCAGCAGGTATAAGCACCGACGGGGTGGCAGTCCAGGTCCTAGAAGCATCTGGATGTGACACACCTGGGAATGTGGCATTATAGTTGGATGTCAGCTTCAGCAAATAGGTTCCATCAGGGGCTCTGTGGAAGCTGAGTTGAGCTTGGGAACCAAGGCGAGTGATACAGAAACAGGCATGAAACAGCTGAGTACCCAGTGAACTGTTACAGCGTGAGGGCCAGGATGTACCTAGAAGAGAGGGTGGGTGATGACTGGTGTGACCACAGTCCCTAGCCTCTAACTTCACACTTTGGCTAGAAGGGCAGAGCTATGGTCTTGGGTTTCTGGGAAAGATACCAGGCCCTGGGCTCTCCACATTCCTCCTGTGGGGAGAAGGGCAGACTTGGGGCATGGATTCACAGGGCCAGCAGCAGCAGTGGCAGCCAGCGCCTTTCAAGATCCATGGAGGCAAGGGTCCTGCACAGGCCTGTGGCTGCTCACCACAGACAGGTGCTCTGAAGGCCTCAGGAAGGTTCCTGTGAGGGAGAACCCAGCACAAACAAAGGCCAAGGGTGAGTGACTGAGCAGGCAGATCGCAGGACCCCTCTGTGCCCCACAGATTGGGGTTTGACTTTGCCTGCTCTCAGTCAGCTGCCTGAGGTCCTTCTTCACCTCGATAGAACTCTGCGTGGATGAGGAGACACTCTGCAGTGCTGGCAGTCCCAACCCTTGAGTGCCTGAGGCCCAGGAGTTGGATTGGCACAGCCAGGGGCTGCAGCTTAAACCCTGAGAGCCAGGGGCCTGTTGCTCCAGGCTGTAGACGCCAGAGACTCAGGGTTCCAGGTGCTCAGGCTGGGGGATCGTTTCCCTGAGCTTTAACCAGCAGCCCATCACTAGGCAGTTGCTGTAACCCTCAGCTTCTGGCACCAGCAGCAGATGGTTGCAGGCAGTGCCTGCCACCGTCACAGCTTCTTCACAGGTACTGGATGTCAGAATCTTTTGCTCCTCCTACAGTAAGTGACTCCTGCCCCCACATCTTCACAGCCATTTTTCTTCAGCCATAGCTCTTGGCCTCCTCTCTACCATTTCTGCTCCCCTTGGTTATTCCTGGCGGCTCTCTAGCTCCAGCAGCCCTCTTGCGGCCACCACCACCACCTATGGGCTGCTCTGGATGTGACCCTGATCTGCCTGCCACCTTGCATTCTTGTGCCACTCAGCAGCAGAAGAAACAGGTTCAGAGACACAGTGAGTTGCCCAAGATCTGGCAGGTAAATGGCCCAACGAGGCAGAGAAATCCCCCGAAGTGAAAATGTAACAAAACATATTTATTAAAACAAACAAACAAACATGCCCAGGCCAGCTCCCCAGCAGTCATGCTGAAAAACTGCCACCATATCACATCCTGGCCTCTGATGACATTGGGGAAGACCCCAAAATCTTGCAATGAGATCAAAAGTGGACCAGCCAGGTGGAGGTGGAACGGCACTGCTCTACCACCCTGTGACTGCCAAGGCAGCAGACAGTTCACGGTGATGCCTAAGCAGTGCCTGCGGACAGGACCTCCCGAGGCTGGCCAGGGCAGGCAGGACCTCAGGCCACAATGAACCAAACCCTGGCATTCTGTCTTGTAGCACCACGGACAGGCTCTGTGTAGACATGACCGAAAACGACCTCTCATAACCAAAACAACACCAACACCAACACCAAAAAAAAAAAAAAAAACCTGGGTCCTAGAGAGAAGCCTGCCACCTGCAGCAGGAAGAAGAGACATGCATCAAACCAAAGGCACAAAAGGCCAGAACGGTCGCCTGAGGCAAGCTGTGCCCAACCCAGTCGGTGTGAGTGTGGCCTGTGCCCAGGATCTTGGTCAGGCCCAATAAGCAAGGTATGCCAAGGGTTCTCCAATCCACACTACCAGGTTCATTCCAGACCTCCTGGCGGCCTCTTGGTCACAGCAGTCACAGGTCCTTCTCAACACCCCCCCCCCCGCCCCGCCCCTACTGCAGCCGCAGGTAGGAGGGGGCGGAGTAGTTGAAGAGCAGAAAGTCCATCTTATAGAGGTCAAAGAGGCGGCGCTGGTAGAAGGGGCTGATGTCCTGGAAGAGGCGCCGGGCCTGGTCACGCGTGGGGTCCTTCTCTGACCTCCGCGGTGGAGCCGGGAAGCGCAGGCCCGGCTCGCCCACCAGGTCCAGCACAAAGGCCGCGTCATCCGCCAGCGTCTCGAACTTGCCCACCACGTCATAGCGCACTAGGCACGGGTGGCACAGCGCGTGCGCGCGCTCCCAGTGTTCATTGAAGGGCTCGTGGCGGCGCGTGCGCGGGTCGAGCAGGTAGGCCAGGAACTCGGCGAAGCGCACGTCGTGGCCGCGGGCCAGCGCGTCGGGCTGCGCGTGCGGGCGGAGGCGGCGCACGATGCGCGTGCCGTAGCGCCGCTGGAAGGCCGCGCTGTGTGGCCGCGCCAGCTTGTTGCGGTAGGCCGAGGCCAGGCGCTCGAAGGGCTCGCGCACGAAGAGAAAGGCCAGGTAGTCCCGCAGCCTCCGGTTGACCTCGGCCGGCGCAAAGTCGGCCAGCGAGGGCAGCAGGCCAGGCGCATGCGCCTCGTGCGCGGGGATTGAGCCCGGGTCCCCACGGCCGCGCAGCGCCAGCAGCACGCGCTTCCAGTTGGTGCAGGCCACCTTGGGCACGTAGCAGTACAGCAGCCCGTGTGCGTCGTCCACCAGCACGTGCCGCAGGTCCTCCGGCTGCAGCAGGCGCTGGCGTCGTGTGTGGCGGCTGCAGGCCCGCTGTAGCAGCTCGCGCCGCTGCTGGTGCACCTTGGCCATCAAGGAGGGCCGACCACCCTGCAGGCGACAAGGGACGGAGGCAGGCAGGGCCAATCGTCAGAGTGCAGCAGGCTCTGGGCCGAGGCTGTACAGATGCCAAGTGCCCTGGGACTCAGGCAAGGGATTCTCCCACTGGAAACTGGAACCCCAGTGACACCCGTCTCTGTGTGGTCTGGGGTCAGAATCTGCCCTAGAATCGGAGGAAATGCAGTCTAACTGCTGAGACGGGAAGGATGTGAGGAACCAGTGCTGGGTACTGCGTGTTCACTAGGATTGCTGAGAATGAGAATTTACGGGACTGGGTAAACTGGATAAAGAAGGATGGCCTAGGGCCGGGCGCACAGCATATAAACACAGGCACACGTAGAACATCTGTCCATTGCTGTGGGTTTAATTCTTGCTGCCTCATTGTGTCCTCCCCCACTTCACCCACTCTGGCAAGGACAACAGAAAGGCTGTGCCCTGGCTAGCCTTGAAGCATAGCCATCCCTTGGCAGCCGCCAGTCAGCTACTTGTAGGATGTGGGCTTTTATGTGTGCCGTGGTTAAATAAATGTACTGACTCTGTACTAGTGGATGGACACATTTATTTGGAGCTTGATTTATTTTACCCCAGCAAAGTGTTTTCATTTTATGTGTATGGGCATTTTGCCTTCATGTACGTTTGTGTGTCACGTGCATGCAGTGCCCAAAGTGGCCAGAAGAGGGCATCGGATCCCCGGGAACTGGAATTACAAATTGGACCGAGCCACGATGTGGGTGCTGGGAATCAAACCTGGGTTCTCTACAAGGGCAGTGAGGGCTCTTAACGCTGAGCCATCTCTCTAGCCCACCATCAGCAACTTGTAATCACAGTGCTTTGTCAGGAAAGCATTTGTCTATCTTGTATGGGATGATCAGAACGGGTAATCTACAGACAGGAAGTGGATTAGTGGTTGTCAAGGGCTAGAAGAGAAGGAAGAGGAATGACCGCTGATATAATCATAGTCTCTCTTGGGATCACAAGTGCTCTGGAATTAGACAGTGGTGATGAGGTCACAGAACCTTGTAAAATATGAAAACCACTGAATCAGCCATTTCAAAAGAGTGAATTTATGCTGAGTTATTTCTCAAAAAGTTAAAGGCCTTCAGAATATTTCCAGCTCAGAGGCCATAGCAGAAGCAGAAATAGTAGAGACCCAGCATGGATACTGGTGGCATGGAAGTATATGGCATGTGCCTCTATGCACATATGTGTTTCTGAGGCTTTTAAAGGTATTCTGCAGAAGTCCATGATTCGTTAAGGGAATTGACCTTTGTGTTTTATGAGGGAGAGAAGAAAACAAAGTGTTTCAGAAAGGATAGGTGGAGGGGCACTTTTTCTTTTCCTTTAAGTGCTGACAGAGCCCCAGAATCCACAGGCTGGGATGGGCTTTGGAGTAGGAGGTAGGGAGTCGCTGATGTAATGTGGGGGTCCTATGTCAGTCATCCTGCTTGTGTTAGTTCCAAAGGAGAGCTAAAGCAGAGAGGTGGACAAGCAGAGACACACAACTTGAATTCCAGGAACTGACATTTTGGAAGAGTTAAAATGCACTGAGGTGGGATATTTGTACACTGTGTGAAGGTGTATTTCTGTGATTGGTGTAATAAAAAGCTGAATGGCCAATAGGTAGGCAGGAGGTATAGGCAGGACTTCCAGGGAGAGAGAAGAAGATGAGGAGGAATCTAGGCACACAGGAGACATGGGGGAGGAAAAAGGTGCAAGATGGAAGAGAGGTAACATCACGTCACAGAACGCAGATTAATATAAACGGGCTAATTTAAGTTACAAGAGCTAGTTAGGAACTAGCTGAGCTTTCATAATCAATAAGGAGTCTTGGTATCATTATTTGGGAGCTGCCTGGCAGGACAGAAAAAGATTCATTACAATGCACATCCTCGATCTTGCCTGGAAGCCCACACAAGGACCAGCCCCATCTGGGGAAGATCAGGGCCTGGCTGAGGAGACCTGTGCTGCACTGAACTTATATCATTCCTTGTCACCATGCCAAGTTCAGCCATGGCCATAGGGTCTGTAGGCTCTGAGAAGATCCTGTTCTTGCTGTCAGGAGTGTCTTAGGCCAGGCTGCCCTCAACCTCCTCACAGCCTAGCTCATCCTTGTGGAAGAAGGCCAGCCATCTATTCCTTAGCTCACCTCCCTCCTCATTAACTGAGTTGGGATCTGTGCCTAGCCTCAGAAGAACCAGCCATGCAGCCTCACACCATCACAAAGGGATGAGTCTAGGGTAGCTACGCATGTGGCCGGCTGTGACCAAGGAGATGTAGGGAAGTTGGCCAGCTGCTTGTGGGAAAGGCTTTTCCTTAGGATACAAAGCAAGAGGGCATGGGGGGGAGACACTCAAACCTTTAACCACCCACCCCCATTCTGGGATCCTCTTCTATGAGGATGGCAGTTATGTAGTCATGGGGCTGCAAATCTATAACAGGAGTCAACACTCAGAGGATGACAGAGGGCAATCTGCCACTGCTGTCTCATGGGGCTGCTGACCTTTCTGTCAACACTGCTGATGTTTACAGACTTGTGAATGCTATGACAGTCAATACAGTCCCCTCAGCAGATGACAAAACCCAGATTTGGGAGAAGTGAGCTGCCTGAGGTCATGGCAGTTTATGGGGGAGGCTGGCTCTTAAACTTGGGGCTGGAGGAACTCAACAGCTGGGGCTACACCCTGCACTACAGCTCTTGTCCCTCCCATTGAGCTTCCCAGTTGCCCAGCTGACTCAAGTGTTTATGAACTCCATGACTTCTGCAGGGTCCTCAGCCCCTTGCTTCAATTCCCTATCAGTAAATGGACATGACTGTAGCCAAGCCTTATTTTATGGTTTGTATAAGTGGGTGGGTGCATGGCACAAGATCAGCCCTTGTCCCCTGACATTTCTTTTGCTGGCATTTCTCCAGAGGCAAGGCATACGGCCTCAAAGGATTTGACTCCAACATCCCTGGATCCTGGGACTGTGAGGACCCATCGGTCCCTCTGAAGAAGGCTGCAGAGCTAATGGAATCTGGGACCCTCTGAGAGTCTGTCCTGCACCTGCTCAATGTGCAACCAGGAGTGAGCCAGACATACTCTTTGAACCAAGACTTCCTTATCTGCAACCCAAGGGTGTGGCTAGGTTCAGCAGACATCCCTTATGCAGCTCACCATTCCCCACACAGCAGTCCAGGGGAAACTTCTGGCCCTGCTGCCCCTGCTTAAAATCCTCCATGGCTCCCCATTGCCCTTGCCTGTTTTGGCCCAATGGAATACTGCCTGCCTCCCAAGCTCACCACAGACAACCTCTCTGCCCTCCTCTCTCTAAGGCTGTTGGCCTAGCTGTTCCCTCAGCTTGTGGTGCTCACATTTTCCTCTTCAGGTTGCACTACAAGCCCCTCTTTTGGGGAGTAGCTTCTCCCCATCTCTACCAGAATCCCCTTGGGTAGTTCCCTGTAATCCCCACTGTTCCCTCAGAGCACAACTTGGTTTCATGGACATGTAAATGCTGTTCAGACTGTGTCCTACCCAGCTGTGCTGTCTGCACTGTGAGGGCAGGACCCCAGTCCAGCTGTTTGCCACTAAATCTCAGCACAAGAGAATGTGCTGTGGAATATTATTTTAACTGGAAAAAGATGTGTTACATTTGTTTATGCTGCATTTGTTTAACAATGTAAGGATGTGTGTTTAATTATGAAAAGATGTGTTTCATTTTTTTTCACCTTGTCTGCCTAAGGTGCCTGATTGATCTAATAAAAAGCTGAACAGCAAATACCTAGGCAGGAGAGGGATAGGCGGGGCTGGCGGGCAGAGAGAATAAATAGGAGAGAGGAGACAGAAAAGGAACGAGAGAGAGAAAAGGAGAAGAGAGGACACGCCCTGGGCAAGAAGCCAATCAGTCGCCATCCAGCTAGACACAAGAAGCAGTGGAAGTAAGACATACAGAAGGAAAGAAAAGTCAAAAGCCCTGATGCAAAAGCTAGATAAAGAGAAACGGGTCAATTTAAGTTATAAGAACTAGCCAGAAATGAGCCTAAGCTAGGCTGAGCATTCAAAGCTAGTAAGTCTCTGTGTCATGATTAGGGAGCTGGTTGGTGGCCCAAAAAGAAAAAGCCTGGTACAAGAATGGCCTGTACATTATACAATACAGTCGGTGCTAATACATGCTGTCTGTGTGTGTGTGTTTGGCTGAGCCAGGTATGGGGTCTTCAGTGGTATTCAGTCAGTCATACTTGTATGATTTTAGGTTTAAAAAAACTCTATGATGGTGGCATTCAGATGGAGCTGAAGCTAGTTTTGAATACAGACTTTGTCCTGGGCTTGAGTGACACTTGTATAGATCTCTCCCTATAGGAGAGGATGGAGTCTCTCTCTCTCTCTCTCTCTCTCTCTCTCTCTCTCTCTCTCTCTCACACACACACACACACACACACACACACACACACACACACACACACACACCATCACTAGGGGGGCAGCCTCATCTACAGTGTCCTGTGTGGCCAGGTGGCCTGTGCATCAAGGGTGCCAGATGTAAGGATCGTTTTGACTTAGCAATATTTAAGTAGGCTGGGTTCCTTGGGAGCTAACCCCACCCTGAGTCAAGGAGTGCTTGTGCTGTTGGGTGTGTGAGAGCATATATGAGGCAGTGTGCGGTCCCAGTAGGGCCACTTGCTCCACCTGCTTGGAAATGATCGGGTGTGTGTGTGTGTGTGTGTGTGTGTGTGCGTGCGTGTGTGTGTGTGTCCTCTGAACATTCCCTTGTTATGCCACATTACTAAAATTTGGGAACTTAACAACCATTTTCTTGAACTCCTGGAACAGGCATAGCTTAATGACCATCTGCTTGCTGGTCCCCTGGGACAAGCATGGCTTAATGACCGTCTGTTCACTGGTTCCCTGGGACAGACATGGGGCTGTTTTACTTCCCTGTGTCTGCAATACATACCACAGAACAAGCACATGTCTTGGGTGTGGTGAGAGGGATGATGAACAGGAAAATTGGACTTCCAGGCTACACAGGAAGCCCCGTTGCCCATACTGGACAGAGCCTGATAGGAGGTATGCAGGAGACTGTGGCTTCCTATCCAGGATGCAAGAGGGCATCCCAGCCACTTACCTGGTCCAGGTCATGCAACAGCTGTAGGGGACTCTTCCTTACTCCTCCAAACCAGCTAGAGCCCAGGGCTTTGTTGTCAAATGCTGAAGGGCACAAGGAGAGAGAGATCCGTGCTGGCTTTGGACAAGGCGTGGTTTGGCCAGCACCCCTAGGACACATTTAACCCACTTGTGTGCCTACTTTTCTTCCTGTGTCTTCTCTTCCTCCTGGGGGTTTGGTAGGGGGTGGGCACCGGTAGGGCAGTGTCCTTGGGGTCATTCCCACCCTCATGCCCTACCCTCCACTACTGGAGAGTGGCAAGGACAGGGGATGAGAAGAAAAGAGCCTGCCTGCCCTCTGGGAAGAGCATCCAGCCCTATCCAATTCTTCTCTGTCTCAGCACCACCTCCCCTGGCCACCTCCCCACCACCCCTAGCCCCTCCCACAGCCACTAGCCCCCCCCACACCACCACCCCTGGCCCCCCAGCACCACTGCCCCTAGCCTGCCCCCCACCAGCCACTTCTGCTGAGTCCTAGGGGTTCACAAGTCTGATGGCTGTCCAGCCCGTAGATCTGAATTGTGAACATCCAGAAAGGATGGGTGGTGGCACAGCCAGGTTGCAGGGCACCAGGCCACATGTGGCGCCATGAAAGGCCTTGGAAGCATGTGCATGCCCCGAGGTGTGGATGCGACTCCTGATAAATGCAGCTTTGCCTGTCTCCAGAACTGGACGGGGATACTCTCTCTGTTTTTATCTTGCAGTCTTCAGTGTCCTTAAGTGTCCTGTCTGTACACCCCAGGCCATGTATGCATGTACCTAGAATAAGTGGGGCCACTTGGACCAGGGCTCATGCAGGAAACCTGTCTTGAGGATGCCCATGGACCCAGCCCTTGAACTTCTCCAGACTCTATCCAGGGAAGGATCTCTGATCCTGCTGCTTTTTTGATAGAACAGCACCTTCAACAGAATAAGCTGCCAGGATAGGCCAGCACTGCTAATTATAAGCGTTGCTAAATACAGCAGCTGGCATCAGCAGTCTGAGCAGGGTTGCAACATGCCAGAGTGACATCTCTCGACACCAGGGGAGAAGAGTATCCTCACAATTCTTCAGGTTAGAGGTGTCACTCTAGGCCACGCAGTGAAGGGGTCTTTTAGAGCCTCACTAAGCAACTGGGGGGACCATAGTTCCCTCTAGGTCTGTGGGCAAGGTAGGAAGAACAGCCTGAAGGGACCACAACACAGCCATCTGACCCACAGCCCTCTTTGGAGGTTCCTGGCCTTCCAGAAGCCACTCCTTGCCCAAGGCCTTCAATTTCCTGGCCAGACCACAGCTGTCTAAGAGTGGGTCCCACAGCAGATGCCAAAGGTCTGTGGGTGGAGGACAGGCCTCAGGGGTTCCCGGAATAGCCTTGATCACAGATTACAGGGCCAGGCTATCTCCACCCTGCCAATGAAGAGCCCAGGGCTCCAGGCCTGGCAAGGACAGGCTGGCTGTAGAAGGGGTGTGTGTGTGTGTGTGTGTGTGTGTGTGTGTGTGTGTGTGTGTGTGTGTGTGTGTGTGGTGTGGTGTGTGTGTGTGTGTGTGTGGTGTGTGGTGTGTGTGTGTGTGTGTGTGTGTGTGTGTGTATGGTGTGTGTGTGTGTGTGGTGTGTGGTGTGTGGGTGTGTGTGTGTGTGTGTGTGTGTGTGTGTGGTGTGTGGTGTGTGGTGTGTGTGTGTGTGTGTGTGTGTGTGTGTGTGTGTATGGTGTGTGTGTGTGTGTGGTGTGTGTCCATGGGTCCAGTCCACTGAGGACCACTGAGGCTAGCTTCAAACAGGGCCACACTGGAGCCCCAGCACCTTCACCCCATCCTTGTTTGACCTGCTCCCAGCTGTACCCCCTCCCCTCCCCAAGACACACAGAACAGAAGGGAGAGGAGGCAGCAGGTTCGTATAGCCAAGGAGGGGCCTCAGCAGAACTAAGACTTCCCCAACCCCAAGCAGCAGGGAAGCCAACAACCACCCTGCCTTAGAGAGGGGAGAGAGAAGGGGGAAGAGGAGGAAGGGTCGGAGTGTCAACAACAGAAGATAGATGGGGACAGCCCTGGACTGCGGCTGGGAGAAAGTGGCATGCAGGCAGAGAGTCTGGAAGCAATGATACTTTGGAAAGAGACCAGAGAAGGCCTGTAGGATGGAAAACAGGCCTCTGACAAGCAGGAACATGCTGATTGTCCAGGCAGGCCACCTCCTCAGCTCAAGACACCAATGTGAGGCCCACCAGAACTTTTAGTGCCCAGCTTTGGGTGGACTCGGTGCCCCTGAAGGGTGGACGGAAATCCTGGAGAAAGTGCCATACGCCTCAGCAGAGGGCTTTGCCCAGGATCCTGTGTCAGCACAAAGGTGGGGCCCTGGAGATGCTGGGCAGGTGACAGAGGACACTGTGTAACTGTGCTGTGTGAAGCTGACCTGTGTCCTGTCAGGTGGAAACTGTTACTTTCCCACTTAATAGACAGGGAAACTGACAGTGACAAGGCCCAAACCTCAAGGCTGCTGGTTCCAAAGACAGGATACACCTCAGGTTCCAGTGTCTGCACTGCTAAAGCCCCGGCTTCTGCTTGGCAGGCTCCAGCTCATCCTGCACATCCTAGGGGTCCACAAGATTCCCCAAGCTCTGTTTTAGTAAGGAAGTGCCCACCATCATAGAGAAGAACAGGACACACAAGGTCACAGAGGGTAAATACGGCAGGACACACCCTTGCAGGGCTGAAACATCACAGAAAACTCCAAGAAAGCTGACCTCAGTCATCATCCCCGACTTCCAGCAGGAAGCCCCATGCCCCAGGCAGGGTAGGGCAGGTTGTTTTGGGGGATGGGGGTGGAGTGGGGGTGAGTCCGGCCCAGGGCACATTGCAACAGCCACATCCTGGTTAATAAGTTCTCACTGCCATGTTGCAAGACAAACCACCACCAGAACCAGCAGTAGCTAGGTCAGAGCCTCCGGTCTGCTGGCCCCACTCAGACACCCCCCCCACACACACACACATGCTTTCAGAGAGCCCTGCAATCCAGTGTCAGGAACATTCTTTCCTGTGATTGCCCTGAAGAGAGAGTGGGACACAACGGACAAGCTCTTCACAGGAAGAAAGGTCATTCTGCCTCTTTCCACTTATATTGAAACTCTATTCACTGACGTTTACAAGCCGGCTGCTGTGAGGAAATTCCTATCTGAGCAGCCATCACCAGGTCCATATCGCCTCTGAACTGTCAGCCCTCATGGCTCCCATCCCTGTTCAGGGGCATCAGGAAACCATTTAACAACCTACTGCTTATCCCACGTGGGTCATCTCAAAATCCATACAGCAGCCCCACTTTGTGGTGCAAGCCTATGATCCCAGCTACTTAGAAGGCTGAGACAGGGGAATCACAAGCTTAAGTACAGCTTAGACTACCCAGCTACCCTAGGCAAATACTGAAACCCTGGATCAACAAGTTGAAATTGAGAGTCGGGCGGTGGTGACACACGCCTTTAATCCCATCACTTGGGAGGCAGAGCCAGGCGGATCTCTGTGAGTTTGAGGACAGCCTGGTCTACAGAGGGAGTTCCAGGAGAGTTAGGGCTGTTACACAGCCTGAAACTGTCTTGAAAAAAAAAGAAGAAGAAGAAGAGGAAGGACTAGGAAGCTATGAATACAGCTCAATGGTAGAGCACACGACATTTGCCTACCATGAAGGAACCCCACTTCAGTCTCCAGTACTGGGCCTGGGATAGGGGTGACCCTTGCTCCTGGTTTATCTCACATCAGAGTCCAGGTCCTGCCCAGGGTAGAAGCCTCTCACTGACCATGCTTCCACTGAATGTGGCAGAAAACCTCTTCAGTCACTCCACTGGGTAGCTTCCTGTCAAGTAGACACAAGCTGAAGTCACTTGGGAAGAAGAAGCTTCAGTTGAGAAAATTCTCCCACCAGATTGGCCCATAGCGCATTTTCAAATGATTGATGTGAAAGGACCCAGCTCACTGTGGGCAGTGCCATCCCTGGGCTGGTGGTCCTGAGTGTGCTAAGAGAGCTGGCTGAGCAAGCCGTGGTGAGCAAGCCAGTTAGCCGCATTCCTTCACAACCTCTGCTTCAGCTCCTGCCTCCAGGTTTCTGCCCTGAGGTCCTTTGATGATGGACTGTACCATAGACATGTAAGTTGAAATAAACTCTCTCTTTTGGTCATGTTATTTATCACAGCCATAGGAACCTTAACTAAAGCCCGGGCTAAGTCAGCGTCCTTTTAATTTGTTCACAGTGCTTGCTACTGATGGAATCAGCTGGCCTGTGTGGGGGATAACCCCTCTGGAAGTCAGTTCTGTAAATAAGGGAACTGTGTTGTTTTCCTGGAATACTTAGACCTCACCCAGTGTCAAGGACTATTTAGAGACTGGAGAATATCTCACCCCCTAACCTGTCATTCAAACCCATTCGAAGTTGAAAACTGGGCTCCAGCTTACAACACCTCTCTGGTTTCTGCCCACCACTTTTCAGGACCCCATGGACCAGCCCAGCACTGCACATCATGCACAGGCCTTCTACTCCTCCAATGGACATGTCCACATGGATTCAAACCCCACTCTCAGTTCTTATTTCTGTCCTAGTTTGCCTCCAGTTGCTATGATAAAACACCATGACCAAAAGCAACTCGGGGAGCAAAGGCTTTATTCCATCACTGAGGGAAGTCACTCAAGCAGGAGCCTAGCTGAGTCGGACTAGAGGAGAAACAGTTTACTGACTTGCTCCCCGTGGCCTGCTCAGCATGCTTTCTTCTACATCCAGGACCACCTGCCCAGGGGTGGCACTGTGCACAGTGCTTTGGGCCCTCCCATATCAATCATTAATCAAGAAATGCTCCCACAGACTTGCCTACCAGCTAGTCTGATGGAGACATTTTCTCAGCTGGGGTTTTTCTCTTCCCAGAGGACCCTTAGCTGTGTCAAATTGACATAAAAACAAACAAAAAAACCTAACCAGTTTATCCAGTTTCCCATCTAATCAATTTCTACGCTTCTTTCAATCTACTACAACTATCTTTGCTTTGTAAAGTGCAAAGAATAAGCCCAAATCCCCATCCCAGGCAAGGATGGCATAGGAGCAAAGCCATATGACTTCCTAGGAGCAGCATGGGGGCTACCACAGAGCCCCTGTGGGGGTGGCGGTGTGGGGGCAGCTGTCCTATCTCCCAGTGTACCCCGTCTCCTGACTCTGAGCTCTAGGACTCAAATCTGTCCCCGCAACTGTCATCTTAAAAAAGTCACTTCTTTGCCCATGATCACAGTTGCCTCCCTGCTCCTACTTGAGCTGACTGACCAATCAGAGAGCATTTCCCCAAGAGTCTGCTGAGCTCTGGACTCCAGCTGGACCTGGAGAGGCTCTTGTGAGCCTCTCCCAACAGCCATATCCTCTCCTTTTGCTAACCAGCCTGGCATTTAGGCCAAGGGGTTCTGAGACTCCTCTGCTCTCCCAGTTGGCAGATCAAAGCACCCTAGCCCCATCCCTCAGGGTGTGTCTAAGAGCAGGTGACATGGAGACCCGGGGTTTTAGTGTCAAAATGCAACTCTGTCTAGTGGGACAGACACTCGGTGGCAGCAGGTTCAGCAGACATGTGTTTCAAGGTGTGAGCAGCAGGGGAGCCCAGGCACCAGGCCTAGGCCAAGGGAACAAAGGACAGAAGGGGGCCCTGGGGATGGCAGTGTCACCATAACTGAGACCCCAGAGGGAAGGGTGTCATGCTGGGGTCAGAGGTGTCTTAGGCAGCTGTCCCATTCCACCATGCTGTCTTCTCTCTGACCCTGGGCTCTGAGCCAGTGTTGGCAGCAGATCCTGGGGCAGGGGGACCAGAATGGGCTCCCCACTAGAAAGAAACCAGTGAGATCCCCAGAGCAGCTAGAACCCAGGCATAATCTGTAACCTTCATTGCCCAGCAGATGGTGACAGTGACATCTCATTCCCTGGAGCAGGAAGGGACAAGACCCTGCTTGGTCTCTTAGCTGGGATTATGGCATTGGAGTCTCCTGGGTCCTAAGCCCTCATTCACCCATAAATTTCTTCCCATGAGCCCCCGATGACCCAGACTTGGCTGGTGGCTGGAAAAACAGGGGCATGTCCCCCTGAGGCCTGGGACAGTGGGACCCTGCTCCCTGCAACCAGACCAGACCTTCCCACTGTCTCCCAGCCAGTGCCTACCATAAGCACACATTTCTCCCCGGAAGTGAGTGGAGAGCTAACTCTGAGGTGAGGTGGGGTTGGCTCTTGTGGGCCCAAGACTGAAAAGTTGGCAGCTGAAAACCTAATACAGTGGGGTGTGAGCATCTAGAGACTGGGAGGTAGGGACGGCAGCTAAGGAAGCTCAGAGACCCATCTCAGACTATGGGGACTTCCCAGGCCAGACAGCACCAGGCCAGCCTGGGGGTGACAGGTGTAGACAGCAGCCCCACCTGTGCAAAGTGGTGAGGGGGGAGCATGAGACCCCTTCTGTAACCATGCTTACACTTTACCTCCCCACATTCACACCCCTGCCCTCCAGATTCTGTGGGCAAGGATGGGGCCCAGGCCGGTGGTTTCTTATCTTCTCAGACCTGACTGGAGGGAGGTAGCAGAACAGATGTGTCTCAACACACACTGCGGGCTAGCAAGACACGCTCCTCTGCAGACAGTCCCCAGGGCCCAGACTCTCATCTACCCTCTCGTACCCCGCAGCAGTGGTTGAGCACTGAGGGACCTGAGCCACCATGGCTCAGGACTGGGTAAACATTTGACTACAATGAATGACAGGGTGGACAGAGACTGTGGCAACAGCAGACACTGGGACCACACTCCAGACTGTGCCAAGGGACACTTTAGACACGAGGACGAACCTATACAGGGCTAGCCATTCACCTACAGGTCCTCAGTAAGGGGAGGAAGGCTTCCTCCAGGGGGACTTCCAGAGGGTCCAGGCATGGCCACTTGTGTCTGGTCGTGGAGAGGTTGTCAACTGACGGAGTGAGTAGCCATGGGCCTGGTGGCTACTCCTTAGACCTCCCCAGTTCTGTTCACCTGTACCCCAGCCCAGCCCTGGCCTCCATCCCAGGGATCCCTAAGGATGAAGCCAACATGGTAGAAAGGCGGGGGCCCGAGCACTATCTACTGTAACATTGAACCCCCCTCCAAAAGCCCTGTAAGGATGGAGTCAGCACCTATTCCATAGATGAGACTGCTGGGGCCCTGGAAGGGGACAGATAGCAAGTTAAGCTTGCTGAGTGACCTCCAATCTACCAGCTTGGCCACTGGGTCCCTCCACAGATTAGTACCACCTTGAAAACAGTTTTCCCTTGTCCTGAGTCACTCCCAACTAATGCCCCTGTCTACCCTAGGGTATGAGCCTGTTGGGAAGTGAACAGACCCCACAGACACAGACATAAGGATGGGCAGACAGTCACAAACGTAGCTCACTGCCTAGGCTCCTCCAGTCCCTCCACACCTGACCTCTGCCCTCAGTTTTGTCTGTATGTAGAGTGAATTGTTCTCCAGAGGATCTGAGGAGACCTGGGCTCATTCAGAGTGAGACCACATGCCTGGTGGAAACTGGTATGAGCAGGTCGTAAGCCCTGTACCTCCAGGCCAACATAGAGCTGTGCAGTTCTGAGGATGTAAGGACTCAGCAGGGTCTCAGATGGAGACAGACATCCTGAGGAGGCGGGAGCTCAAGATAACTCTCGAGGCTCAGAGAATGGGGACAGTGACAGCATGCCCCTAGACTGGCCATATGCACTCCCCCACCATCACAACCTGACCCAGACAATGGTCACCTCGCCAGCCGACAGGAAAGAAGACTCCTGAGGGGAGTGGAAGGTGCCTGTCTTCCACCCAGCCGGGAACAAGGGTAGGTGCCTGGTCGACCCAGGGGGCGCTCCAGCTAGTGGAGCCCCAGAAGCGGAAGCCCAGGCCAACGCGCACTCACCAGGACGCAGGAGCAGGAGCGCGCACAGGAGCAGGAGCGCAGCGCCCAGCCTTGCCACCACCCGTAAGCGAGGCCGGCAGCAGGAGCGCCTCCCCATACTGTGCCCCGCGCGTGGCAGGCGACGGTCATCCAGGGTGTTCTCCCACTGCGCGGCCAAGGCCCAGGACACGCCCAGTCCTGACCTTAGCCTAGGACCCGCCCAGGAGTGGCGTCTGGCGCTCCTGCCTAGTGGTAGGCTCTCGCTCCAGCTGGCTGAATAGGTAAGGCTGGAGCCCAGGATAGGGAGATGCAGCATCTAGCCATGTTACTGGTCATTAGGGTCCTCTACCCTGTGCAGGTGGGAATTAGGAGTGAAGAAACTCTCAGGTACAGGTACCACAAGCTCAAGGAGCATACTGGCAGAGCCAGAGCCCTGTAGGTCAGAAACTCAGGTTCCCAGGTGCTCAGGCTGGACGCTCAGCCCTGGGCTTTAACTGGGCAGCTATTGTAACCCTGGGCGTGACAGCTTTCGTCCCCAGGCTTTGGGACTCTTGGCTCTCAATATTGGCAAATGTCACAGCTTTTTGGCCCAGGGTGCTGGGACTGTCTGCGTAAGCTTCTCCTCTCTGCCTGCTTTCTCCAGCCTTAGCCCTTGGCAATTTCTTGTTCCCTCTCAACTTCCACTGGCCTTGCCTACGAAGCCTCTGCTCTCCACAGCAGCCCCTCAGTTCCCATTCTGGGGAAGACCACTTTGGAGAAACCCTCCACGTGGCAACACAAGTGATCATGAGCTGATTCAGAACGGAAGTGTGGCAAGCAGTGTCTGCACCAATCAGGGCGCAGCCTTTCCTGCAAATTAAAGACTGAGTTTGCACCAATCATAGCACCAGTACCCGGGAAAAGACTCCCCCTCTGTTGTGGGTAAAAATACCCAAGAGTCATGTTGATTTCCCACATGCTGATGGTGGGCAGAAAGTTTCATCCTACACAAGCTGTTTGAAACAGCAGTAACTGAGACCATGAATCAGGACCAGGATGTGCTTTGGGATCCAGCAGCTGAAGTCTAAGCTCAACTTCCCAAGGTGCCCAAGGAGAGTTCAAGGCAGCCAGGAACCATGAGGACAGTGCCTAGGCTGTAGGGCTGAGAGCCCTCACTACTAAGAAATGATTGAATAACTGTTGGGGGTCACAAATCTTTCAGGGCCCGGGATCTTAACTTATTTAAAAGGGGAAAAGGCAAGCATGAACGGGGTGCTTTACAGTCGAGGCCTCCTTGTAGCTGTTCTCACTGAAGTGCCTGACTCCTGTCCATTGTCCCAGGAGCCCACCAGGACTTTTCAGGTAGGAAGGGAGGTGGGCTGCACTACGATGCAGGACCACAGTCCAAGGTGTCCAGGGCAGAGTGTACATGAGGGAGCCCATCTCTGACCTGGCTCCATCTGTTACAGTTTGCTCTGGGCTGCCATCATCCTCTCAAGGGTCAAAGAGTGACCCGGGGAAAGCAGGCCCCTCCCAGGTAGTGTCTCTTGTTTTTCTTTTTTTTTTTTTTTTTTAAGATTTATTTATTTATTATGTATACAGGAGAGGGTGCCAGATCTCATTACAGATGGTAGTGAGCCACCATGTGGGTGCTGGGAATTGAACTCAGGTCCTCTGGAAGAGCAGTCAGTGCTCTTAACCTCTGAGCCATCTCTCCAGCCCCAATCTCTTGTTTTTCTTAATGGCAGAGGCCAGAGGGCTGGGCTGAACCACGAGCTCAGACATATGGGACCTGTACATGGTAGTCCTTGTCCCATGCCAGGGTCAGTCATGAATGTTCCCCCCGCCCCCAAGCCCACCTTGTAGCCTCACTTTCTTCCATGTCTTCAGGTCCTGCTCAAATCCCAGTTCATGCAGGACTTGTCCAGCCTTGAGGAGAAGTAAGGGGTCTCGGGGGTGTCTTCCTGAGCACTAGGCCCGTTGTGCCTCATCATGTTACCCACAGCTGCTGCAGGCACAGGTGGGCACTTGGGACTTACTTCAGACAGGGGTTTGAATTGTAGAGAGACACCAGAGTAAAGTCCAGTCTTTGGCAGATTCAAAAAAAAAAGGGGGGCGGGGGGGGGGGGAGCTGGGAGTGTGGCTTAGTGATAGAGGACTTTCCCAAACTGTGAAGCTCTGGGCTACATCCTGATGCTGCAAAATGAAAAATAGACGAGAAAGACATCCAGCAGGCTCCGTGGGCTGGGACTGCACCTGACCTGAGAGTCTAGCTGCCCTGAAGCCAGCCGCTTAGGGAACCCCAGCTGGCCCTGCGTGTGCAGGCAGGGCACGGCTTAGCCAGCATTCAGCCCTGTGTGCAGGGGGAGTGCTGCACTCCACACTGGTGTCTCACCTGCCAGCTGGGTCTCAGTTCCCCGTCCAATAACATTAAACCTCACTGTGCTGTGGAGGTTACTGAGAAGCAGAGAGATCGGAACAGTCTCCGGGGCAGCAGGAGTCCTGTAAGGACTTGATAATAGCATTCAATAATCCTAATAGCGGCCTCTTATAGAAATGATCTGTTATCTATTAATGAAAACTATGAAACAAATGACAGTTTTACATTTAGCTTCAAACAACAAGGAAGGCTCTACCTTGCTGGGTGGGAACGCAGCTCACGCTCAAACCACATCCTTCTCAGCATTCCCCATCCGCAGGGAAGGCCTGCTTCCTTCCATCCCAGCCCAGAACCCAAGGATTCTGGATCACCCATCACAATACCTATCTGCCCCAAGTATCACCCAAACCCACAGGGGTCCTCAGACATTCATTCCCAGAACCTGGTATAGTCTTGCAATCTTCAGTGATTTGGCCTTCTAGGCTGCCACCTAGTGACCAAAATTGAGAACAACTCAGCCCACTGTTGTCCCTAGAAATGAGAGTCCCTGGGGGCCACCAGGAAGATTGGAAGTCTTGGAACCTATGTGCAGATGCCTGCCTCCAGGCCCAGGTCCCTGGTAGCTCCCCGGAAAAGCTTCCTCTGCCTGCTGCAAAGACTCTGAAGTGAGTGTCAATTATAGCCAAGTGACAAATTGCCTTGAAATTTAGCACCTTCCAAAAACCACTTCAGTGCCATGGATCAAGGACTGAGGAAGGGTCCCAGTTGTATGCTTCCCCCAGGGGTCCCATGCTGCTGCAGCCAGATGGCAACTGAGATGGCCATCATCTGGAAGCCTACCAGGCAGCGCATTGACGGCTCATGATCACACATGAGATATGTGGCTGTCCCTACCCAGGGACCTAGAACCTTGGGACCACAGAACATGACCGCATGACTGTGTGGCCTGTCTATCTCCCTGGAACCACTGAGGCTGGTCCAGGTTCCAATGACAGGACTGGATCCCCGCCTCACACAGAAATGCCTGAGAATTTGAGGACCTGATTTAATTCTGTCCCTGCATATTAAATGAGCAGTAAGGAGGCTCTGGGATGGGAGCTAGTAGGATGGGGGGGGGAGCATTGAGAGTTGGGGCAGCTCCCCAGATCCTCCAGTGTATTTTTCTAAACACACTGCAAATCTGACAGCTGAGATTTCTGGATGCTGGTTGTGCCTCTCGGCTTCTGTGTTGGTCGGGGGATGGGGTGGGGAGGGGGCTAGCAAGAGGTCAGAGCTGTCTCTAGAGATGAAGGTCTTTAGCGTAGGTATCAATGAGAAAACTGTCCACATCTCATGCACCTTCAGGGCCCTTCAGGTATGACGTCGTTCCATCCCCAGCCCACTTCTATGACATATTAGTGTTGTTAGGGTCATCTCTTTGTGTCCCATGGTGCTGGAACCTGCAGATACCACAGGCCCTAGGTGCTCATCTTCCTTACATGTTATAGAGTGGCGTGTAACTTGTGAAGTCCTCCCATTCACCTCCAGTCATCCCTGGATGCCTTATAATACCTAATACAAATAGACTTTAGACTGCATTGCTGGAGGACCCATAGTCAGGATAAATATAGGTACAGATCCATACAGGTGCAGTTTTAGAAATATCTTCAGGTGTGCATCCTAAGACCCAACCATCCTTTCACTTATGGCGACCTAGAGAGGCCAAGAAACTCTCCCAGTGAGACACAGATAGTGAGCAAGACAGTTGGGGCTCAAGCCTAGCACACTGCCATGTTCAGCCTGTGTGAACCCCTCATTCCTTTAAAATGTTTACAATGTTTGTTTTCTGATTAAATAACTTATTAACTAAATAACTTATTCTAGGATGAGAGTCACATGCAGTTGTGAGGTGACCCAGGTACCCCATTGTCTCCCCGTGGTGATGTCTTGAACATCCCACTCAGGATGTTGACTCTGAGGCTGTCTGCCCCTCTCCTCAGGGGGAATATTAAAAATGCATGAATTGGTTACAAACATTTAAAAATCAGATTTCACAGAGTTTCTGGCTTTCTCCTGAGAGCAGGGCTCCCTACAGACAAATTATTGAGGGTCTCTGCTGGGGGGCGGACCTCGAAACAGGGAACAGAGGCCAGTCAGCCAGGTACAATGCAACGTCACCTAGGAGATGGCGTGCTAGAGCCAAGAGATGTGGATTGCTGCCCATTAGGCTGTTTCTGCCCCACCTCCACCCGCCAAGGGCCAAGGGAGTTAGGGTTTATCCAACTCTGCAGCCCTCTTCTGCCCCACGTGAGAAGAAGAGGCTCTATCTAGGCACCAGCACCCATGAGCAAAGAGAAGAGTGTGCAGCCTTGGAGTTGCAGCCCATAGTGCTCAGGCTCACAGAAGGGAGGATCGAGGCTGGGGCTGCCAAGGGAACCCTACCTCATTCAGTGTGGTCCTACCCTGCCATCTTGTACCTGGTACATCTTGTTACCTTGTACATCTTGTTACCTTGTACATCATGTACCTGGTACATCTTGTACCTGGCACAAGGTGGTTGGTGCTCGGCCACCTGAGCCTGTAAGATCAGAACGCTAGGTGGAAGCTCGGAGAACTCCCTGTGGGGAGCACTGAGGACTCCAGCGGGAGGCACTAGAGACCCAGTATGAAAAAGACCTTTCTCGGTCTCGGACTTTGCATAACACCATTCACAGGGGAACAAATGTGAGCTTTCCTCCCCCACCATCCAGTTCCCCAGCAAACACCAACAGGCATTCTGACCCCGTCTACCTGGAGCACATGCCCCACCTCACAACTGGGGGCTCCATCTCCAAAGCGGCCCCACTTTAGCTGATAGTCACAAGCAAGGCAGTGAGCTGGTCTTTGATTGACTGGCTATAAATTGGGGTTCCTATGGCCTGCTCCACTCCTCAGGTTGAATTAATTTGTTAAAAATGGCCTAAGATTGAAGCTCAAGGGTAGATGGACTGACAAGCACATCCCCAGCACCAAAAGAAGGAAAACTTGTGAGAACCAGCTGAAATCAGGGTAGCATGTTACCACAAAGGATTCCCACGTCAGCTAGGCAGAAGGTGCTTGGGGCGAGGTGTGAGAGGTGCAGACCCCCCCCCCCCGACACACACACACACACACACACACACACACACACACTGACTTCTTGGGACTCTAAAGGCCTCTGATGTTTTTTTTTTTTTTTTTTTTTTTTTTTTTTTGTGAATCATAGATTACTTTTTATGAAAACACATAACATTCTATCATTATTTTGAAACCGTTTTACATTAATGAGCATGATTTGATTTATATGTTATCTACTAAACTGTATTTGATACATGTTATAAAATAATAGTTTATGAAATAGTCAATTTTGTTCTGACTAAAAAATATCCTTTAATAGCAAGCAACTATAATAGACATAGACATAAGGAGGAATTAGCCTGGAAAAAAGGATGAATTAGAATCAATTAGTAAATATGAAATTATGTCATTACACGTGTGAATATGATATGAGGTTTAATTTGGTTAACTTCATTAAACTTAATTCAGAATTTAAATTTATTATTAATTTTTTTTTAAATTTATTTTAATTTATTTTGCAATACAATTCAGTTCTACATATCGGTCACGGATTCCCTTGTTCTCCCCCCTCCCGTCCCCCTCACCTTCCCCCCAACGCCCCCCCCCCCCCATTCCCATCTCCTCCAGGGCAAAGCCTTCCCCACAGACTGAGGTCAACCTGGAGGCTACCCGGAAAACAGGACCCCAAGAAAGACACAGGGATCGCCCAATGACAGAGAAATGGAATGAGATCTACATGAACAGCCTGGACATGAGTGGGGGTAATGAAAGGCGAGGGTTGAGGGAAAGAGAGCTTGGGGGAGCGGGAGATCCCAGCTGGATCAACAACAGAGAGGGAGAACAAGGAATAGGAGACCATGGTAAATGAAGACCACATGAGAACAGGAAGAAGCAAAGTGCTAGAGAGGCCCACAGAAATCCACAAAGATACCCACACAACAGACTGCCGGCAATGGTCGAGAGACAGCCCGAACTGACCTACTCTGGTGATGGGATGGCCAAACACCCTAATTGTTGTGCTAGAAACCTCATCCAACTACTGAGGGATCTGGATGCAGAGATCCATGACTAGGCCCTGGGTGGATCTCTGGGAGTCCAATCAACGAGAATGAGGAGGGTTTATATGAGCGAGAATTGTTGAGACCAAGGTTGGATAAAGCACAGGGACAAATAGCCAAATGAATGGAAACACATGAACTATGAACCAATGGCTGAGGGGTCCACACTGGATCAGGCCCTCCGAATGGGTGAGACAGTTGATTGGCTTGATCTGTTTGGGAGGCATCCAGGCAGTGGGACCAGATCTTGTGCTCATTGCATGAGTTGGCTGTTTGAAACCTGGGGCCTATGCAGGATTGTTTGGCTTGGCCTGGGAGGAGGGGACTGGACCTACCTGGACTGAGTCTACCAGGTTGACCTCTGATGTTTTGATAGGAGCCCTTTGAATCCTTCCTTAGGGACCCCATGGGATCCTTTACACAGTCATGACTGATGGCATTGACAAATAGTAATCAACACCTTCTCCCCTCCCACCCCTGGGTCGAGGAGTAGAAAGTTTCCCTGGTAAACAGGTGACTGTCCAGGAACCACAAGGCCAGCTCTCTAGAATACTGAGATCAAAAATACCCTCATCACCCTGAATTCCACAAGATTTGTGAACTGGAAGTTGGAGAACACCAAAGGCAAGAGTCCTCTGATGTCCCCAGCCTCAAGGACTTCAGAGACCAATCTAATTTCCTCATATTGCTAGACCACATCTTGTTAAAATCCTGCCCCACCCTGCCCTGTCCACTGGACTCTTAAGAGCAGGGGCCACTTCAGAGGTGTCTCCATCCAAATGTGGGGTCCCGGGCCTCCAATCTGGACTTCATTTATGACCAACTACAGAACTTGAGCCAAGTCTCCTTGCCTCTCTGACCTCAGTTTCCTTATCAGTGAAATGGGACTTGAGCTCTGAGGACCACTGCAAGGCTTCAGCCATCTTGTGTACTGCTCAAACGACCCAGTGGGTCACCTTCCCACTCTGCCTAAGGCTGGGTCATGACCTTTTTGTGCAGAGGGAGGAGTTGGTCACCACCCACCTGTGTACATAGGGACAGGGCAAAGACCACAAGGTTGGCCAGCAGTGGTCACTTACTGGGACCACTGAGACTCAAAGGTGGGCCCTTCCTGGCTGGGGGGAGGGGAGTGACACCCAGCTTTGGCCTCTGGTCCGAGGCCAGGATGATGAGGAAGGCTTTCTTGCTGAGCTGTTAATGATTAGGGAATGCTGAGGGTGTGGAGAGCTGTTACCACACCTGTTTTCTGACCCCTTCCTGCTCAAATGTTAGGGAGGGGGGTACAAGGGACTCGATTCTGTAGAGTTTGAGCTAGGTTCAATGTCACATGACTCCCCATCATCAAGACACATATTCCAACATTGCTACCTATGTGACATCCTCTAAGACTGAGAAAACCTCAACCTCAGAACCCACCAGCCCTCCAAACTCCATCTAACTTGAGCCTGCCCTTAAAGGAGCTTCTACTCCCAGTAATACTCAGGCAGCCTGCCTACCAACCAGTGGTCCAAATGACCTGCCCTTTGTGCTCTCTCTGTACCCAATGAGAGGCTGGAGGAGGTGGCCCTGGGACTGTCTATTCCCACCCTGCTTGCCCCTGACTGCCCAGTCACTTCGTGCTGGCCTCCGCCTCAGTCTGCAGACATGTCCAGCCTCCAGGAACTGTGCTCTGGCCTGCCCCTACAACCTCTCCCTGAGAACCGGGGGCGCTGGGCTGGGGTGCCACACGCTCCCGTCAGGACTCCCGGCCTCAGCCCTGCAGAAGAGCAGGTAACAGCTGCTACCCAGTCCTCCAGGGCTCTGGGGCCCTTTGATGTCTTTTAGACGGTCAGGGTATCTTCTCTCCACACCTCAGCTGCCCACCCTGTCCCCACCAGCTCCCAGAGAAGAGTGAGGGGATGTGTCAGGGTCTGTCACCTGATATTCTTCAGGTGAAGCCACCCTGGAGTTACCTTCGGCTTGGAATTGGGCTCCCCACTTCTGGATGAGGTCACTGGGGCTCAAGGTCACCCAAACACTCTGTGGTGGTGCTGTGGCCACCTCTAGCGAGGGAGAGGAAGAGGCAGGGTGTGAAGTGGCCCTAGCTCAGCAGCTTCACATGAACCTTGCCCCGCCGCAAACACTGAGTAACTCTCATGTCCTCTGTACCAGTTTTCCGTTGTCCCTCCGCCAAAGCTCCCAGTGACTGCAGCTGTGTGGTCTCCATCAAGGACACAGCAGGGCCGGGAGGGACGGCAGTCCAGGTAGGGCCTCACCTGATGGCTCTCTTTGCCCAAAGGATGTAGGCCCAAGAACTTTCCAAGCTGTCAGACATGAAGGACACAGAAGTATAGAAGGCTGAATGAGGACCCCCATCCCCACCCTCACCCAGGGACTGCTGTCCTGGGGGAGACCACCCCCAAGCTTTCTCCAAGCTGCCCACAGGCAGGAAGTATGCTTAGGAGCTGCTAGGGCAGGTTACTGGTGAACAGGAGCTGGGAGAGAGAGCAGGAAAGGAACTGAGGGTCTTGGAAAATGGGGCGGCACCAGGCAAGTCAGGGCTGTGCTGGAGAGAGGGAGGACAAGGTTGGGCAGGTGGGGGTGGGGCGCCCTGCCTTTTGACTTGCCCTGTCTGATTCTACTGAGCCCCTGTCTCTGTTGTCATTCATGTTCCTCCCCCTTGGTCACCTCCCTGCTGACACCAGCTCAGCCGCAAGAGCTGGCACGGCTCTGCCACCTGCGGGCCTCTGCTGACACCCTTGTGGCTGACAGTGATCAGCCTCCACGGTGTTTTGTGGTGGCAGAAGGGCAGCCAGGAACTGAGAGATTGGGCCCCTTCAGTTTCGTTCCTGTGTGTCACCATGTGTTTGAAGGATGCAGCACCCTGAAAGGAACGGTGACGTGCAGACCTGGGGTGTTAGAGTTGGGGAAGGGTTAAGTCTTCCCTCTGAGGCGGAGCCCCAAAACCAGTAACAGTTTCTCTTTCATTGACTTGCTTCCCATGTGGGGTGTGTGTGTGTGTGTGTGTGTGTCTGTGTGTGTGTCTGTGTGTGTGTCTGTGTGTGTGTGTGTGTGTGTGTGTGTAGCTGTGCATGTGTGTCTACATGTCTCTGTGTGTCTGTGTGTCTGTCTGTCTGTGTGTCTGTCTGTCTGTCTGTGTGTGTCTGTGTGTGTCTGTGTGTGTATCTGCACATCTCTGTGTGTGCTTGCACGTGTGAGTGTGCATGTTCCTGTGTGTGCCCATGTGTGTTCAGGTGTGCATATTTTGAGTTCTCCCTTGTTTCCACTACTACACACTATTCCGTTCTTTCATCGTTTGGATGGACTGGGGGCTTCGTTTCCTGCTTTTCTTTGGCACTTCTCTATTTAAGTAAGAAGTGCTGCCTGTTACACTTAACCAGTGTACACTCAGCACAGGCTTGTTCAGCCTTCACGGTGTGTCTCACAACACAAGCAGTTCTGGTCGAAGCACCTTCTCGTATACCCTGTGTGCAGTTTCTCTCAGTGACCTTCTCCCCAACATCCAGCCTCATCCACTGCACTGTGCTGGGCATCAAATGCCACAGCTGAGCCCTTCACTATGGTGGGTCTGAATGCCTGTCTCTATTAACACACTATCCTGAGGGCCCTTCCCCATGGTGGGTCTGCCATGGTGGGTCTGTCTTTGCCAATACACCATCTGAGCTTGAGTGTGGGACTCCCTTGGACGATCTCTAGGTTCCAGCAACACCAGCATGTGTGCATTGAATCCATGGACAAGAACATTTGTTAAGAAGCCAACCCCATATCCTACAAGGGACCTAGGAGGACTTTTTGGCAGAGGTGACTGTGGCACTTGGACACGGTTTCTAGAAGGGAAAGGAGGCCCATTTGGAGATATGAGAAACAGTGCATGGGAAGGCGGAGATGGACCTTCCAAAATGTGGGAACTGGAGGAGACCCCATGCAAATAGAGCTGGGAGAGTCAGATGCAGCATGACTGAGAAGACCCAGAATGCCCAGGCCACTGTGGGTGTCGCCAGACAGGCAGTGGGGACCCGTGAAGGTTTTTGAATAGGGGCATGGCTTGGTGGTTAACACAACCCCTCCCATGCCAGGATTGTATAAGCATTTCTGTAGGGACCCCAGGCAGCATGGGACAGGGCAGAGGTCCGTGAGCGTGGCAGGTGACAGTTCTGGGATCTAGCACTCACAGAGCCCATGGGTGAGCCCAACACCATACTAACCATGCCAGTTCATTAGTACCTAGAAGATGGGCTCTAATGTCACTCCCACTTTATAAAGACAGTCAAGGAGGAAGCAGGGTACGTCGGTGCTGCTGGGAAAATCCTCTGTGCATGCCGCTTTACCTCTAACACGACATTCTAAATCTACACCGCGCCACACCGACACTCAGCTTGGTCCTCACATCTCCTCTGATACTAGCTGTCCCTTGTCCTCTGACAAGGACCTTCATGATTATGGGACTTTTCACTTGGATATTCTAGAACATTCCCAAGATCCCTAACCAAGTTATTTGTGAAAAGTGCCTTTCACCTTGTAAGGCAATGTGCAAGTTGGTGGATGCGAGTGTGGACATGGTGGGGTCATTAGAGTGGCTACCATATCAGCTATACACACTGCCCAAGTCTGCCTGTCCCAGAACGCAGCCTCTGTACCATTTACCAAGGTAGGTGCCTTCCCTGGTCTTACAGCGGCTTCTGCTTTCCTCCTCTGAGACTGCAGCCCCAGGGGCAGATGGGACCAAGAGGAGAAAGCTTGGTGTCTGCCTTCATATAAGGGGCCAGCAGCCATCAGGGAAGTCTTTCCAGAAGACAGAGCAGGTGTTCTCAGAGTGGCTCAACCAGTTTCTGAGCGGAGCAGAGGCAATCCAGGTGGGGAGGGAAAATGGACAACACAGAGGGCCTCAGGGCCCTTAACCCAGCCACCTCTCACCCCCTCCTCCCCAGCTGGCTCTGAAGAATGCTCTGCGCTACTTCCCACCCACTGTCCAGAAGCTGTTGGCCCAGGAGTTTGCCCAGGAGCTACGACAATTTGGACACATCTACATGTACCGGTTCTGCCCCAGCATTGAGATGAGGTGAGCCCTCGTGGGTTTCGCTTCAGATAAGGCTGTACAGAAGTCAGGAGCCTCAGGGAATCCACGGCTGAAGAGGAGGTCCGTCTGTCTGAGCTGAGGAGGTACCTGTGGAGGTAGCACAGTGAGTTGACACCCTTGTGCAGAGAAAGTAGATAGTGAGGTGTCTTTTGGGGGATCTGGAGCTGACCTGCCTGGCCAGAGGATGGGGTCCTCATCAGATAGGTCTCTGGCCTGCACCCCTAACCTGCATTCAGTCCTGTTGACTCTGGAGCACAAAGTCTCTCTGGGACACTGTGTCTTGCTCTGCAGGGAGGAGCTGGTGAGAGGGAGATGGGGTGTGGCTGTTGGTGACTTCAAATCTGTCATGGTCTCCATTGAAGTTCTTACACTGTGGCACGCACGGCATCATGGGAAGCTTTCTGACAGTACAGAGTTCTGGGCCTCACTGGACTTAAGGCTCAGCAGCCCTGAGGCAAAGCTAGGCATCTGCATTTTGGATGCTGCAGCTTGTGTCAGAGAGAACCATTGTTCTGAACTTGCCAGAAACCCAGACTTGTTCTAAATGGCCCAGGAAGTCTTGTGTCCCCCTGAGACAGGAGCCACTGCCCTTCTGTCCCCGCACCCCCTGCACCCCCTGCCCCCTCCATGGAATTGCTGCCCAGGAGCGTTTGATGAGTGAATGAAAGAACAAATGACTAAGCACCCAAAGGCAGAAGGCTCTGGAAAGCAGCCATTCTTTGGGGTCAGAGTCCTCCCAGGCGTGAAGTAGAGAGGGACAGTGACTGGAGTGGACTGGACTTCCCACTCTGGGCATGTGGGGACTCAGGATGGCTCTAGTGCTCCATTTCCCCCGTGTTTCCAAGGACTGCTCTCAGGTGCCTTGTCAGCTCGGCCAGGGCAGCATCGTAGTGGGGTGGGAGGCCTGAGGGTTCCCTTGTCCCCTGATGCTGGACTTCCCCTTGCAGGGCCTACCCAATTGATCAGTACCCATGCCGGACACGAGCAGCTGCAGCCATCATGCACATGATTATGAACAATCTGGACCCCGCTGTGGCCCAGGTAATGGCAGGGAAACCGAGGCCCGCATAGTCCAGAAAAACATGACCTGAGATCCTGAGTAGTGCTAGTAAGCCTTCAACGCACATACAAAGCTGGCATAAGACAGCCCCTGGACCTTTCTCTGTAGCTATAGGGCAAAATCAAAAGCAAGAAACAAATATAAAACAGCAATATATTTATATAAACGAACCCATAATTTTAGCTTTCTAATGGCCACCTGAAAATAAACAGATTTAATAATAGTTACCATAGTGTCTCTTAACATTATTAGTGAGATCCCTTATCCTTTTACACGGAATCTTGACTTGGAAGATGTATTTCACTTGGGCAGCTATGCTCCGTAGCCAGCATGGCTGGTGGCTGCTGTGTGTCCCTTCAGGCTTCTTGCCTTGTCCCTATATGTCATTGCTTCTTTGAGTCTAGCTGCAGGTAGGGGCCCTGCTTCTCTCTGTCCACAGCCCCATCTCAGATGATGCCACATCTTCTCCAGTTTCCACAGGAGCTGGTGACCTACGGAGGAAATGGGCAGGTGTTCAGCAACTGGGCTCAGGTATGGTGGCCTGGAAGGCACTCAGAGGTCCATGGCTCTGCCTGATGCCTGATGCTTCAGCACTGGCAATCACCTGGAGATGCTTCACTTATGAGAAGGGGTAGAGTGGCATTATGGGATGTACCAGGAGACCCTGGAGATTAAAGAGGATCTAGGCAAGCAAGGCCACTAAGATGGACCAACTGAGACCTGCAAGGATCCCTGGGTCTGGGTGTAAGGTACGGGGTCCATGTGGGTGCCAGTTCGCACTTACAGAGTCCTGCATGTGCACTGTCCATCCAGTTCTGGCTGACCATGTCCTACTTGTCGAAGATGACGGAGGAACAGACTCTGGTCATGTACAGTGGACACCCGCTGGGCCTCTTCCCCAGCAGCCCTGGCGCCCCACGCCTGGTCATAACCAACGGGATGGTGAGTCTGAGGCGGCAGGCGTGAGGCCTGCCCAGGACTGGGCTTGGAAAGGGGATGTTGTGGGTGAGGAGGAGGTCCAGACAACACTGCACCGCTCACACTCGGTTCCTTCCTTTTCTAGGTCATTCCCAACTACTCCTCCAGGACAGAGTATGAGAAGCTGTTTGCGTTGGGAGTAACTATGTAAGTCCCAGTGTCTGCTCACTGCTGTGGTGTCCGCCTTTAGCTGCATTCCACAATAAGATAACATGACTGTGTTAAGCCTGATTTCAGGAAACACTTACCACGCTGTAACAAAATCATTTCATTCTCACACAGCTGCACCCTGGGAGCATTGTGTAAAATGCTGGGGGTTTTTTTTGTTTTTTTTTTTTTTGTTGTTTTTGTTTTTGTTTGTTTTTTGTTTTTTGTTTTTCGAGACAGGGTTTCTCTGTGTAGTTTTGCGCCTTTCCTGGAACTCACTCTGTAGTCCAGGCTGGCCTCGAACTCACAGAGATCCACCTGCCTCTGCCTCCCGAGTGCTGGGATTAAAGATGTGTGCCACCACCACCTGGCGCTGTTTTTTATAGACATGGAGCCAAAGAAATATACAATTTTGGATTCCATTGTTACCAAAGATTTTGTTAAGTAATCCCAAACATACAGAAAATTAGCTCACAAATAAAAACATCACACAGCTGATTTAAGAAACACAAACACTTGCCCAGGTCTGGACCCTGTGCGGCTCAAAGAACTTTTGTATGGTTAGAATAAGGTGATTTTATTAATGAAAAAGAAAATTGAAAACAATTTTCAGGGAATACCACCAAAATCCTGTGGTAAAAGTACAGTTGCTGAGGCCAGGCTTGGTGGCACATGCCTTCAATCCCAGCACTCACAAAGGCAAAGGCAGGTGGATCTCTGTGAGTTCAAGGCCAGCCTTGTCTGTAATAACAAATTCCAGGACATCCAGAGCTACATAATAGAGAGACCCTATGTCAAAACAAACAAACAAACAAACCAAAACAAGTACAACTTCTCGCTCTAGCATGTCTGTCTATCTGCCATTGATGCATCCACCCAGCTTGTCTTTGGATGAACTTCAAAGTCCATTGCGGATATTGCTGGCTGGGATTTGATCTTTGTTTTGGGTCTCTTTTCCTTTTGAAAGTATATCTGGGGGCAGTGGTGGCGTACGCCTTTAATCCCAGCACTCGGGAGGCAGAGCCAGGTGGATCTCTGTGAGTTCGAGGCCAGCCTGTTCTACAGAGTGAGATCCAGGAAAGGCACCAAAGCTAAACAGAGAAACCCTGTCTTGAAAAACCAAAAAATGAAAGAAAGAAAGAAAGAAAGAAAGAAAGAAAGAAAGAAAGAAAGAAAGAAAGAAAGAAAGAAAGAAAGTATATCTCCATGTACAGTCATCCAGCTGCTGATTGAAAATGTTTGAAATCAAATTCCACACTGACCAGATGCAGGCATTTTCTTGCTGTTGTCCACTGAACAGCAAGTGTGGTTACCATAGCCACCTACAACAGCGTTTGCATGATGTGAACTATGGCAGGTTCTGTGCAGATGTGGGCTGTTTGACATGCAGAATTTATGTGTCAGAGGATTTAGGTGTCTTCTGGGGGCAGTGCCTTGGAACTTGCCCCTGGAAAGGATTTTGATGGATGATTCTCCCACGAGACACACTCATCCCTGTGCCCCGTGGAATGTGCTCCGACAAACTGTGCAGCCATGTGACATGACTCGTCAGGTACAGGACCCTGTAGCCAACCTGAAGAGCTTCCAGGACACTGATAGGGCGTGAAAGCTTTCCATGTGCTGTAGAGTTAACTCAGGCTCTGCATCTAAAGGTTTCATCAAATGTCATGGAAGGGGCTGCACTGAATAAGGAAAGCCTGTCCCACATGGGACCCCAGGGGACCATGTCTCCTGTCTCCTTCCAAACACTCTTCATGCCCATGAACCCTGGGCTGGGGTCACCATTGTGGCAGCCTCTGCACTTTGTCTTTCCCCACTGACAATACAGCGTGGGGTCTGTGGAGCACCAACCTGGCAATTCACTCTCTTCTGTAGTATTCAGTGGCACCGCGACCCTTCTTGCAAGGCGTCCAGTCTTTAGGACGGTACAGAGGGTGTTCTGATGCTCACATATTTGTGGACCTCTGGGATCATCACTCAGGGAAACACCACATAGAATGGAATCTGCAGAATGGGGAGCCAGCGACTTAGCCTCCAGGTGACAGTCCATAGTGTGACCACAGCACAACCTCACTACCACCACCAGGATGTGCCCTGGCTTTACCAGCCTTCTGAAATAGAACCCTTTAGTAGAGGGGAATAAAACAGGGCCTCAGAAAAACTAGTCGCTCTGTTGCTGGCTATAACTAGCCTCTGTGAGTCTTGCTGATGTTATTGGGCCTGGACATTATTTCTGCTCCAGTGGAAGCAGCCTGGGGTCAGAGGGCTGAGGGAGCGCATCCTGGCCCACTACTCCCTCACCATGGCCTTGGCATTGTCCCCACACTACTGTTTCACAGGTGGGACTAAAGTCCAAAATGGTAGAGCTATAGATGTCAGACCGTGTCTGGCTGTGGCTCTGAGGGTTTGCCACAGGGAGATGTGGGGCACCAATTGCAAAAGGATAGAAATTAGGTCTGGTGGCACATGCCTATCATCCCAGCTCCTTGGGAGGCTGAGGCAGGCTAAGGTCTGGCTGGGATACAGTGTGAGTTCAAAGCTAACCTGGGCTAGCTAGTGAGAAAAAAAATGTGTTTTTCAAAGAGAAGCTGAGGCTGTAGCTCAGTGGTAGAGCTCTTGCCCAGAATGCATGGGGCCCTGGGTTCAATCCTCAGTACAGAGTAAAAGTAGGCAGTGTGGCAGAGATGGGAAAAGGTTTACTGTGTAAGGAAACTGAGAAGACCTGGACACCAAAACCCTCCTGCCATCAGAGGGGCACAGGTAGCCATACAGGGAACATCCCGTGAGGGAGGGTGGGGAGCAGGTTTAGGCTGTTGGTTAAAGTGGTTGGCACATTGGGCTGGGGCAGGGGTGCCCCTAAAGGCTCCTGCTTCAGCTGCAGAAAGCTTTTGGTCCAGCAACTCTATACTGTAAGTTGGGTGTGCCATGCAGCCTTTTAGTTGAGACCCAAGGACCAGAGTCTGTGCATCCCTGGGCCTATGTCCTGTCCAGTCTTAGGATTTGGGCCTCGTCTAGACAGAGGGGACATTCATAGGTCCTGTCACAGTGGACTGTGTGAGAATTATCAAGTGACAGAGGCACAGTCTGCAGGACTGGGATATTGCCATCATGCCTGGGATGTCAGCTCCAGAGCTCCATAGGAAGCTGACCCCACGGGGTTCACAGTGGGTTTCACCATCTCCAGATGAGCTCTTTTACGCCAACATTGTCCTCTTACATTTATGATACTTATGCAGTCTTTCGAGATAAGGAACATGGCCACCTTTGTATTTCCTTATCTTTTTGAGACAGGGTCTTGCTGGAAGCAAGAATCCATGGTCTTTCTGCTTCAGCCTTCTGAGTGCTGAGATGATAAGTGTGTACCATACCTGCATATCTCCATTTTTAGAAGAGAAAACAGAGGTTCTGGGTGGTCAGGTGTATAGTGTGGTTGTGTGGTAGACTTGATATTCACTCACAGGCTTGTGACAACACACCCTCTAGCCAGAGGAGAGAAGGGGCTGGGGAGAGCCACTGAGAGGCAGGGATCTAAGAGAAGAGATGATGACCCTAGCGTTGAGAAACATGCAGCAGAGGGTCTTGAGAGTCTCCTAGTCTTCAGCAAAGAGTGCAATTAAGCTAGCAGCAAATGCTACTGTCCCCATTACACTGCCCAAAACTGTTTGCTAATTATCCAGTGACAGCAATGGCCGCACTCAGGCAGTACTGATGACATCACTGGAATTTTTTTGTTTGTTTGTTTGTTTTTTGTTTTTTGAGACAGGGTTTCTCTGTGTAGTTTTGGTACCTGTCCTGGAACTCGCTCTGTAGACCAGGCTGGCCTCGAACTCACAGAGATCCACCTGGCTCTGCCTCCCGAGTGCTGGGATTAAAGGCGTGCGCCACTGCCGCCCGATGACATCACTGGAAATTTGACAGCATCTATTAATATTAGAAGTATCTGTGTCTGATGACCTCGCAGCCTTCCTGCCTGCTTTCTGCCCTGTGGACAGAGTCCTCAGGTGGAGGGAGCTTATAGGAGGCCACGTCACGGCACTCACATAGAAAATCAGAGCCGACAGGCTTCCCAGAAGGGTGGAGAGAACCATTCCTTTGAATGTCATCTGCTGTGAAGCCATGGCCTGTGCTGATCTGGAAAAGACCAGAGGGCAGGCTGTGGGGGGCAAGCTACTAAAACACCACCTTCGGAATGGAGCCCCATACTCACGTAATTCAACAGCAGGCATCTGGTGTGCACCACACAAGGATTCTCACAGACATGTGTTCGCTGCTACCACCTTGCCACATGTCCAGCGCCACACCCAGGGTTCAGCTGCAGTAGGAAGATGCCTCACAGTTAAGCCTACTGGATGTCACCTGGATGGAATCTTGCAGAACATGCTTTCTCACGCCCCAATGCCTTCCCTGGGTTGTGTGTGGCAGAAACACATCCTGTCCTTTTTTTCTCACTCTGTTCTTACATCATAGTTCATTTCTCTCTTTCCTCCATGTGTGGACATTTCAATGGCTTCAGATATTGGCCACTGTTGATAAATTTGCCGTGAATGTCTTTGTGGATGGCTGAATAGACACTAGCATGTGGTATGGGCATGCTGGCCCATGTTCAGTCTTGCTCCGCCGAGCCCAATCATCCCCATGAATATTTTTTAAAATTAATCGTATGACAGATTTTAGGGGAATAAAATCTGTTTGTAAAATACCAGGAGGCAGGAGGGCACAGGAGGCTTTAGCTTATTACATCCTTACCTTTTTATTCTTACTTTAACTTGTTAAATGTTTTGGTTAGAACACAGTGAAATAGGTTTCACTATGACATTTTTTTTTTTTTTTTTTTTGGTTTTTCGAGACAGGGTTTCTCTGTGTAGCTTTGCGCCTTTCCTGGAACTCGCTTTGGAGACCAGGCTGGCCTCGAACTCACAGAGATCCGCCTGGCTCTGCCTCCCGAGTGCTGGGATTAAAGGCGTGCGCCACCACCGCCCGGCTCACTATGACATTTTTATACACGTATAAATATGTATTATGTACGTAATTTTCTTAAGTTTTATTTTTATTTTATGTGTATGAGTGTTTTGCCTGTGTGGATGTCTGTGCACCCCACATGAATGCAGTGTCCAGGGAGGCAAGAAGAGGGTGTTCAAGCCTCTAAAACTGGAACTATGGATAACTGTGAACTGCTATGTGGGTGCTGGGAACCAAACCTGGGTCCTCTGCAAGAACAGCCAGTGCTCCCAACCACTGAGCTTTCTCTCCAGCCGCATTATAGTGACTTCTTATTCATCTTCCCGACTATTCCCTGATGCCTGTCTCTCCTTCTTGCTAGCCCCCTTTCTTCCCTAAGCAGCCCCCTTCTGCTTTCACGACACACACACTCTCATTTCTTCCCTTTTAGATCTCCTCCCCACCCCCATAGTCCTCTTTCTACTCTTCATCACACACACACACACACACACACACACACACACACACACACACACACACACTACATATAAGTGAAAATATGCGATGTTTGTCTTTCTGACTCTGACTCTGGCTTATTCTGGTTAACACAATTGTCTCTAGTTCTAAGGAAGGAGAATGTAGGAGAACCTTTGAGGGTGGTTCAAGGTTTCATCTAAAGATCCTAAGCACTGCCCTTTTCTTCTCTGCTCAGGTATGGCCAGATGACAGCGGGCAGCTATTGCTACATTGGTCCCCAGGGAATTGTCCATGGCACAGTGGTGAGAGACGGGCACACATGATGAGTGGCGGGTCCCTACAGGTGGACCTGCCAGGAGTGGACAATAAGCACCCTGCCTCCCCTGCCTACAGCTCACTGTGCTGAATGCTGGTCGGCGGTACCTGGGCATCGAGGACTTGGCAGGGAAGGTCTTCGTCACTTCTGGGCTTGGTGGGATGAGTGGGGCTCAAGCCAAGGCTGCAGCCATCGTTGGATGCATCGGAGTGATCGCAGAGGTGATCTGGGGAGCCGCTGCCTGTCCCTCCAAACTCCCTGATTCATTCATTCACTTCTCTGCTTGCTTGCTTTCCTCCCTCTCCGTCTCCTTCTATCCTTTCCATCTCTGCCCTCCACACCTTTCCACTCTTCCCACACCCCACTCTCTTCTTGATTTCTTTTACCGAACCCCCTCACCTCCTCCACAAAGCCTTGTACTACCTCACTGGATGGGGCCCTGTGGCAACACACGGGTCCGGCTTGCACAGTGCCCACCACCCTCCATGTTCTATGCCCACTAACTTCCAGTCCACAGAGTTGTACTGGTGTATGTACAGCCATTGCTTCCGGGGTCCGGCCCCTTCCGATGAGGAACCTAGATGACAGAGAATAAATATTTGTGAATTGAATTAGTATAGAGCACCCCTCCCCTAGCTTTAGCAGCTGACATTGGATGGATGGAGGAGGCAGACAAGCCACTCCTTCACAGAGGTGTGCACAGGGGCCTTGCCCTAGTGACTCACATCTGTTCGGAAGATGCCAAGGTCAAGGAGGGAAGCAGGGGCAGCAGGAGGAAGGAGCTTTGAGCTAAGTCTTGGGGACACACCGTGTAATTGGGCTTAGTTGACACTGCCTGTGTCTTGCTTATGTCTGAGCTTTGCTAGAACTGTGCTGGGCTGCAGGTAACAGGCCATCTGTAGCCGCTTACGTAAACAGGAGTTTTATTTTTCTCATGTAACTATCATGTAACTGACAGAGCTGGTATTGGCTCAGCAGCTCAATGATGTCAGTGCTAGCGCCTCTAGATTCTTCTGGGTTTCTCTCACGGAGATGAAAATCGCTGCACCAGCCAGCTGTGCCATCCACATGCAAAGCAGGAAGAAGGGCGAAGAGACGTGTCCGGTCTGGCTGACTATCTCAGTAGGAAAGTCTTGTCTCGGAAGCTCCTTCTTTGCTCCCATTGGCTGTAGTGACTGCCCTGAGGCTGCATCATGAAAGTGGGGTGGGAGTGCACGGGGTGGCGCCTCTCAAGAGGTTGTTCAGGAGTGATGTGTGTAATGGATGGCCTGTGTCCTGTGACCTCAGGTTGACAAAGCTGCACTTGTAAAGCGCCACCGGCAAGGCTGGCTGATGGAGGTGACTGACAGCTTGGACCACTGCATTGTGAGACTCAGGTACAGTTGGCTGCACAGGACTCAGAGCACTTGACCCTGGGCATTGGAGGCAGGGGAGGAAGCGTGGCTAGGGTTGTTCAGTACCTGATGTCCAGCCACAGGTGCCGTCTGGAGGCTTCACTGGGGAAGCATCATGGGAGGGGTCTCTAGAGAGTCCATTTCCCAGGGATTACTGCTGCTGGCTTGTGGGCAGCCATGGGGCTCTGAACTTGAGACTCTCCTACATTCCCCTCCAAAATACTGGAATTGAGATGTATGTACCGTGACTGGCTTAATTATATTCATCCTCTTATCTATTTCTATTTCTCCAAATTATTTTGGAATCACCATTGGTAAATCCTACCACTTGCATGTCCTACCCCAGAAGTGAGTTCTATGAAGAGCTTATTAGGGCTGAGACACCCATTTTCCAGTAACCACTGCAGCTCAGCTCGACCAACTGGGACATTCCAGCATGTGTTTTTCCTTTTCATGTATCATGGAGTATGAGAGAACATACCTCACCCTAGCTCATGCCTCCAGGCCCACACTCATTCAGGTCCAAACTCACACAGACCCATGCAGGCCCACACTTACACAGACTCATACTCACACGTAGGCCCACAGTTGCACACAGGCCCATACACACACACACACACACACACACACACACACACACACACACACACACGCGCGCGCGCGCGCGCGCGCGCGCGCGCGCGCCATCAGTCACACACGGGCCCATAGTCACAGAGGCTCACACTCATACACAGGCCTCCAATCACACACAGGCCCACACACTCACATAAACCCACTCTCACATGGTCCCACTCTCTCACACAAGCCCACACTTACACACAGGCCTAGGTGACCTCTTAAGCCTGTCACATTCAGCCAGCATTGAGCTCCCTGTGTATAGGCACAGCAGCTACATCCAGGGCGGCTGAGGACAGGTGTGGGTCAGCTGCTCTGCTCTTGTGTCCTTCTAGGGAAGCAAGGAAAAAGAAGGAGGTGCTCAGCCTTGGCTACCATGGCAACGTGGTGGATCTTTGGTAAGTGGAAATCAGTGGCTTGAGTACCTCAGCGGTGCTAACCAAGGGCTTCCAAGCCACAAGCTCTGAATCTCAGCCCTGTAACTCCTGGGAAGGTCATGATCCTCACCCAGACACACAGCCTTTCTGTCCATGCATGTTGCAAAGGAGAAAGTAGACACTACCTACAAGGTGTGGCCGGGGAGATGTGGGCTGCAGTTTCGGCTGGCTGGGTCTCCCCAGCCCATGCTTGCCTGCCCTGTTCTGACCACCCCACCACTTCCCCAGGGAGCGCCTGGTCCATGAACTGGACACCACGGGGGAGCTCTTGGTGGATCTCGGGTCGGACCAGACATCCTGTCACAACCCGTTCAATGGTGGCTACTACCCTGTGCAGCTTAGCTTCTCAGAGGCCCAGAGCCTCATGTCCTCCAACCCAGCTGCCTTCAAGCACCTGGTGCAGGAAAGGTGGGTGCAGGGCAGGACAGCAGGGCCTGCGGGATCCTAACCTTTCTGAGTCTCAGCTTCCTTCTTTCAGAGGGGATTGTGGGCACAGTACTTTTGGGAATGATGGGGCAATCTGAATTGATATTTGTCAAATCAAAGGCAGCTTGCATGTCTGTGCTGGGTACACGCTAGGACACCCGAAGTACCCTTGTCTGGTACATTGGACCTCAGGGTCCGATGGAGAATTCTGGTTTAGAGGGGCACTACAAGACAGGGGGTTTTGAGGGGTTCAGGGTTTTAAGTAGACATGGGAATTAGTGGTGCTGGGAGGGGTCACAGTGAGCTAAAGGAGGCTGGTCCTAGAGGGGACTTTTCTGGCACTGGGTTTAGAAGGCCTTAGGAAGTTTGATGAGGTGGGGCTGCGGAACTGGAGGGCAGGTCGGGGGCTGCTGATCACCTGTTTGTTACAGCCTGAGGAGGCATGTCTCAGCCATCAACAGGTTGGCCCAGGAGAAGTTCTACTTTTGGGACTACGGTAACGCCTTCCTCTTGGAGGCTCAGAGAGCAGGTAGGCAGGGAGGGAGGCTGGCCAAGTGGTGTCTGGGGCCTGTGTGAGCACACCTGGGGAAACTGTTTTCTCCCCATTGCACACCCATAGCTCAGCCACACGGTCACCCAGTGAGTACCCAAGAGCTCTCACTGTGCCTTTACCCAGTTTTCCCTTCTTGAAGCTGGGCCGGCCAGGCAGCTGGGCCTCTCTGGGCCTCAACTTCTCCTTACATTTTAAAAATATAAAAGGCCCAGAGTCCGCAAAAGATTGACTCCTTCCAGGCCTTTTTTCATGGCCATTTGCAGGGCCACTTGCAGACCTAACGGGATGAGGTCCTCTGCGTGGTGCCTCTAGGGCTGACACTGAGTCCGTGAGCTCATATGTCTGTACCCTACACCTAGACCGCACAGATGGCAGTGTACCATCCAGGGCTGCACGCGGCTTTTTCTCCTCTTATTTTGCCTAAGGAAAGATCTTGAGACTCTGTTCCCAGCCTTTCCCAGGGCCCCTTGTTTAAGTCACTGTCTGTGTGGCCATGAATGCTCACACAGATGGACGACTCCACAGGAGCAGATGTAGAGAAGAAAGGAGCCAACAAGATGGAATTCCGCTACCCCTCCTATGTCCAGCACATTATGGGGTGAGTGATGGAGGTTCCATTTTGGGGGTGTCTAGTACCTTTTCTGCCCCCCTCAGGACTTAGAACCTCCAACACTGATCACCACAGGGCTGTGTGCTGAGACCTCACCCAGTTGGGAAGTAGCCAAGCAGTGGTCACAGCATTTCCACATAGCACACAAGTGCAGAGGTGGCTTCTGCAGGGCCTCAGTGAGAGGACAGGGAACCAAAGGGCCTGGTGACCAAGGTCATTCCCTGTGCACACCACCCTGCCAGGTACCCACTCATTTTCCTAAATGATGTGGCCAGGAAGCTGTCCTTCGCATGACGATTCAATCCTGAAGACCAGGACCTACCGTGGCTTGAAGGCCTTGTGCCATCCGGCTGTTCAGGGCCAGTCTGAGAAGGGCCAGCACCCCAAGAGAAATGGGGAAGTAGGGGGACCCTGCAGGAACCAGAGCCAAGTAGACCAATCAGGGAGTCTGGACTTTTAGACTCACAGGTTTCAGTGTGCACAGAGAAGGATGTAAGACATCTCTGGATGGAGTCCAGAGAGGCAGAAGTTGCCTTCTGACCTTTACTGCTGTGGGTGGGAGCAGAGCCAAGGGTGGGCTGGGACACTGGGGTCCAGAGCAACTGGATTTTCCCCAGGGAAGAGAAGCAGGAAAGAGACCGCAGGGATAAACTCAGCTGTGCTTGGCAAGTATGGAGCTAGCATGGCCCAAGGCTATAGCATCCCTCTGTCCCACTTCAACTGCTGCAGAAGCTGAGTCACCAGGGAAGGCCAGGCCCAGTGTACACATTTACCCACTTTTCTCAACTGTTTACTTTAGGTTTTTATGTAGTCTTCCTAAGGGTAGTGTGAGAAAACATCTGTTTGTCTTTGTCTTGTTTCCCTGTTTCTGACGCTGGAAAAGTATAAGTTTAGAGATAAGAGCAGAGGCCAAGGAGGAGGCAGAGGAGCAAGGAGGTCCTCTAAGACTCTTTGCTTAGAGGCCGACAGTTTTGAGCTCATTCTGGATGCTGCCCATCTTCCCTAGGCCTGCCTACATGCCACTCCCCAGCTCAGCAAGAAGGTGCAGGCAGCCCAGGAGGTTGTGGCTAAAGAGACATTTGTTCTTGCAGGGACATATTCTCCCAGGGCTTTGGGCCCTTCCGTTGGGTATGCACATCAGGGGACCCCCAGGACCTGGCTGTCACCGATCATCTGGCCACATCTGTGCTGGAGAAAATCATTGACGATGGAGGTGATTCTTCTGGGTGGGTGGTACTCAAGAACGGTTGGTCTCCCAAATCCCCTGCTTCTTTCTGTAGGATACCTGGTGGCTAGTGTCTTATTCTACATGAATCTCAGGATCACAGGTTGCTGCACAAGGGGACCTCGGGCACTTTCAGGCCTTGCTCTCTCAAAACTGTTCAGAGCATGAAGCTTACACACACACACACACACACACACACACACACACACACACACACACACACACATCGGGCTCTGCCCTCCAACCCTCTGCTCACCTCTGCCTCTGTACCTGCTGGCCGCAAGGCACAAGTAACTTTAAGTCAGTTGACTATCCGTCACTGTGACAAACACCTGAGTGAGCCAGCCTTCTTAAATGGAGGAGGTTTTCTTTTGGCTCTTGGCTTCAAAGGCTTCAGCAGTGGTCAGTTGGCCCCACAGTTTTGGAGTGGAACACCCCTAGGAGCCAAAGGGAAGAGTAGCCCCAACATCTCCTTCAAGGCTACACCTCCAGTGATCTCACTTCCTTCCATCTCTTAAAAGTCCCATCATCCTCCAGTAGTGCCCCAGGCTGGCAACCAGGCCCACAATCCCTGGGGTTTGCTGGATGTTGATAAGCTGCTGGCCCTCTCTGACCCAGCCGCTCTCCTGCAGGCCCCACTCTCCAGGAGTAGGGGAGGGAGTCACTGGAGCCTTGGCCTTGTTGGATGTGTTTCAGGAACACTTCTCATTCACTTCGGCTGTCTTTTGTGAGCCTGCTACCCCCATTGGCACTCACCTAATGCTCAAGTTCTCTGAGCACTGGGCCCTTGAGCTCATCTTAATCATAGATGCAGAGGTTTGGTTCTGCCTCTTAGCTGGGTGACTGTGGTCTTCCTGTGTCTTCATGTCCCTGCTGCCTTCTTGAAGCACATTGTCCTTTCTAATGGACTTGTCATTGTCAGTCAAGTGCAAAGAGGAGGCCAGACCAAGTCGAAGGAAGTAGCTGCGGTTTTACACGGGGAAATCTGGTCCACTGCCTTCCCAGCGTCTCTAGCTCAGAACAGCTGCCTGTCCCTAAGCAGGACAGCTGGATGTCAGCTGGATGGCTACCACCCAGTGCTCCGCAAGAAGCAGAGTGCTGTCACACCTACAGAGGTGATGGCTAAGAATCCCCAGCACAGCCAGCGTCCAGCTGCAATATGACCTGCTCTCACCGAGCAGGGACACTCTAGCCTGAGGAGCTTCCATCAGGCAGAGCAGACAGATGCCGAGGACCTCCAGGGCACAGACCACAGTACAGGGCCGTAGAGTAACAAGCAGTGATGGGTTCAAGAGCACCTTCACCCCAAACATGATTTTCAAAGTGCGAGTTTGTTTAAGTAAGATACCGATGTTCTCTGTGCGGTCCACTGAGTCTTGGCTCTCACCTTTACCAGTCTGCTCTCATGAGCTGCTCAGACTGCTGTCACCATGGCCACCCTCCTCCTCTTGCCTCCTCCTCGGGTAGTCCAAGCACTCCCACTTTCGAACTTTCATCCTGGATACTCCCTCTAGAATTCTGTTCCCACAGAGCTTCTCAGCACTGAAACCTCTGACCTTCCCTTTCTTGGGGAGCCTTTATTCCCATGATGCATCACCCCAGTAACCAGCTCATCACACTCTTCTTCATAGCCAACTGTGGTTCTTGTTCCTGTGCCTGGCCTGGTGTCTGGTATACAATAGATACTCAATAGTTGTTCTTTGAGGGGTGAATGCATCAGGGATGGGCTGCACAGGCCCATACGTTAGGTGCACTGGTTCCCAGATTCAGGACGGCTAGCGTAAGGGGAATCACCTGAGGTCTCCAGGTACCTGTGGCAAACATCCAGCAGAAAAGAGTTGGGGCCCCTGGCAGCAGCTTCCAGGGCCTGAAATACCCCTCCCCTTTCTCCCTACAGTGAAGGCATCTGTTAAGCTACAGTATATGGATAACATCCGCTGGATCCGGGAGGCTGCCAAGCACCAGCTGGTGAGAGCTTGACTTGGGGGAAGATGGGTATTGCAGAGTCATGAAGGAGGCTGAGCTGTGAAGAAATTGCCCAGAAACAAGGTGCAGGCATAGAGGTCTCAGCGCAGTCACAGCTTGTCATGCCCTGACAAGGTGCAGACCCTGCATCCATGCGACTGTTGACAGCAGCACCATGGTGGCCACCTTATCCAGGAAAGGGCTTGTAGAGGGATGTCTGGGTAGCAACATGGAGAAACTGGAAGCCTTAGACAGTGTTGGTGGGGGTATAAAGCAATGTAATCTAGCCAATCTATGCTATCTATACACCCAACAGGATTGGAACCGATTTCAGGGTGCTATAGGTACTGTAGATAAAATACCAAGGCAATCCAAAGGGCTCTTGGCAGACAAATGGGTCAACAAAATGCCTCTCCTTACAAAGCAACAAGTAACGGCATTCCACCAGTCACTGACACGGAAGGACACGATGTCAAGAGAGATAAGCCAGACACAGAAGGACAAACCCTTGCCAGATGCCACTCACATGCAGCCCCTAGAGTAGGCAAGTCATAAACAGGGAAGTAGCAGGGTGTGTTCCTGGGCTGGGGAGGGTGTGGGGAGTCAGTGTTTCATGAAGACTGAGTTTTGGCTTGGGAGAATGAAAAGGTCCTGGAGCTGGATGGTGGGGCCTGCTGCACAGCACTGTGAAGTGGTTCATGCCACCAAGCAGTATGTTGAAAAATGATTAAGGTAGTCAAATTTATGTTGTGTGTATATCTTAGCTAGGGTTTCTATTGCTGCGATGAAACACCATGACCAAATGCAGGTTGGGGAGGAAAGGGTTCATTTGGCTTCCACTTCCACTAGTGTTGTAGTCCATCACTGAAGGAAGTCAAGACAGAAACTCAAACAGAGCAGGAACCTGGAGACAGGAGCTGATGCAGAGACCATGGAGGGGTGCTGCTGACTGGCTTGCTCATCATGGCTTGCTTAGCCTGCTTTCCCATAGAACCCAGGACCACCAGCCTAGAAATAGCCCCCCCATCAATCACTAAGAAAATGCCTTACATCTGGATCTTATGGAGGCATTTCTCAGTTGAGATTCCCCCCTCTCATATCATTCTAGCTTGTGTCAAGTAGACATAAAAGTAGCCAGGACCGTGTATTTACTGATTTTTTTTAATGAAGAGGATAAGAAGGGTGATTTGGGACTCTGAAGCAGCAAACAAAGTCATCCTTCATCCAGTCAGCCCACAAACAGTCTCCAGAGTTCCCGTGGGAGGTGAGAGCTCAGGCACCTGAGCTGGCTCTGTGACATTCTCAGCTGAACGCCCTGGGTGAGAGGCCCAGCCTCCATCTATGACATGGAGGCAGTGGTGCTGGATCTTGCAGTGGCCTCTGTGTCCCTCCCTGGGCACAGCTCTGAAGGACACCGACACCGCCAGCAGAGGGACAGAGGGTTGGTCTGAAAAGGTGCCTGATGATAGAGCAGCTGCCAGGCCCTGGTTAGCGAGGACAGGAGACGGAGGAAATTAAATAAAGAAGAAACATGTGGTCCACACATGACTATGCTAGCCAGCAGCTCCCGAGGTCTCAGGGCCAGGAGGGAACTGTCCCCATCTTGGCCCATCCCATCCTGGGGCCATATTTTGCATGTGTGCCTCCATAAAACCCCCATGTGCCAGCCACAGTCTCTGTGGGGCCCTGGGGCTAGGGACAGGGCAGAGGGAATGCAGTAGACAGAATGCACAGCCATCCTGAGAGGCGGGGGAAGGAGAGGCAGAGCTGCAGCAGAGATGCAACTGTCTGGGCCTGCTACAAGGGATGGGTTCAAAGCCAGCAGCACATGCCACGGGACCAGCAAGCAGAGCGTGCTCTCCGCCTTTGAGTGGAAGTGGTCAAACGCTCGCTCACCCTACTTCAAGATGCTTTTCTCTCGAAGGCCGGCGATTCTTTTTATATACGACATTCTTGACAGACTTGGCACTGTGTTCACTGCCCTTCTCAGTGCTGTGACCGAATACCTGACAAGGACTCCCTGAAGGGGAGAACATTTATTATGCGCGGCTTGAGGGAGCAGTCCCTCCCAGCTGCGAAGGTATAGTGGCAGGTGTGTGAGGCAGCTGGTCACACTGCATCCCCAGTCAGAAGGCAGAGGGAGATGAACACTGGCCTTCCGCTGGCTGTAGCTTGAGTTTTCCTGCCTGGCCCACAGTCAGGACAAATCTCTCTCACCTGCCAGTCCCACAGCCGTCAGACCCAACCAAGTAAACAGAGACTTATATTGGTTACAAACTGTATGGCCGTGACAGGCTTCTTGCTAATTGTTCTTACAGCTTAAATTAATCCATTTCTATTAATCTATACCTTGCCACGTGGCTTGTGGCTTACCGGTACTTTACATCTTCCTTGTCCTGATGGCGGCTGGCAGTGTCTCCCTGACTCAGCCTTCCACTTCCCAGCTTTATTCTCCTCCTTGTCCCACCTATACTTCCTGCCTGGCCACGGGCCAATCAGTGATTTATTCATTGACCAATCAGCAACACATTTGACATACAGACCATCCCACAGCACTTCCCCTTTTCTTTTCTTAAAAAGGAAGGTTTTAACCTTTACATATCTCCAAAGTCAGCTTGGTATATTTGGGAATTTGGGCGTAGTTTCTCTTACTACTTCCTGCTGGAGGGGGGGCGCTGTATCTTATGGGGACACAAAGAACATTTTAGGATTATGGAGTAGTCCGTGAGGCTGTATCGTCTGAGCCAGTTGCCTTGAAACCATTCTGGATGTTGGATCATCTGGGCCATGGTGTCATTGGAGACCTTTCAGGGGGTCTTGGCTGGTCAAACCTGATGTATCTTAATCTGGAACAAATCCATAGCCTCTGGCTTTCTGTGGAAACAAAAGCAGAGACTCCTTTCCAAGGCAACACATTCTTACATCCAAATTTTGAAGTCAAGTTATCTTTAAAATATACATTTTGGCATAACTCAACAGCTTTTACAATCAAATGTTTTTCTGCAGTTAAAAATCCCAAAGACAACACAATCCAGATTCTCTGTGTAATATTCATCTTCACGTGGCTTATTTTTTATATTAATTTTACTGTGTCTTTAAAGACTTTATTTTTTAAAACTATGTATTTGTTTATATAACTGTATATATCACCTTTTTTTGTCTCTTTCAAGCCTACGTATATTTTACACACATTTTAAACTATTACATCTGAATCTATCTTATTGTGAATCTATTGCTTTAGGCTGCAGCAGCTGTGGCTGCTGGCTCCGCCCACCTCAGCTTCCCAACATGGCTACGTTTACCACCAGCTCTGGGAGCTATCATGGGTCTATGCTTTTATCCAAGCAGGGTGTAGTCCAGAAACCTCTTTTTTTGTTTTGTACCTGCAAAAGCTAAATCCACCACGCAGCTTAATGTGCCACTTGCAGAGGCCTCATTCCTGCCATACTGCAGGTCGAGCGCGCACACCAGGAACCCACAAGTAGCTCAAACCAGCAGCTGCTGCTCATTTGAGAGAGACAATTAGAAAGCTGTTTTTAGCTCCATTTTAGAATCTTTTTTCTCAGTTTTTAGGTGGAAACTCTTGCCACCACGTTGGACGCCATTTGTTGCTAGAGTTTTCTTGCCTGGCCCACAGTCAGGACAAATCTCTCTCACCCGCCAGTCCCAAGCCGCTCAAACCCGACCAAGTAAACACAGAGACTTATATTGCTTACAAACTGAATGGCCGTGCCAGGCTTCTTGCTAACTGTTCTTATATCTTAAATTAATCCATTTCCATTAATCTATACCTTGCCACGTGGCTTGTGGCTTACCGGTACTTTACATCTTCCTTGTCCTGATGGCGGCTGGCAGTGTCTCCCTGACTCAGCCTTCCACTTCCCAGCTCTATTCTCCTCCTTGTCCCGCCTACACTTCCTGCCTGGCCACTGACCAATCAGTGATTTATTCATTGACCAATCAGCAACACATTTGACATACAGACCATCCCACAGCAGCTGGCTCTCTGCTTTTCACAGTCACGGAGCCCAGCCCGGGAGATGGTGCTGCCCACCTTAGGCGTCCCCTCTTCATTTAGTCTTTCCTAAAACTCTTCCAAGTGTACCACAGACGTGTTTCCATGACCATTCTAAATCCGGTCAGATTCACAGTGAAGACTAACTACCACAAGCCGTTTTATATCTGTGCTTCCTCATTTCCCCCCAAAAATCTGAACACCTCACAACACTGATTCACACTTAGAGATTAAAAAAAAAAAAAAAAAGACTGGAGGCCCCTGTAGTTCCTAAGGCCCTTTGTGGGGCCGTTGCTAAACAGTGAGGATCCTGGCCCCACTGCCCAGGCCAGCTCTGAGCTCAGGAAGACATGAGTGACCCTGTCGCCTGTCCTTGACACTTTCTGCAGTTTGGGCCAGATCCTCGGGTAGGAGGAGCAGACACACGGCACTTTCTTTAAAGAAACTGTGATTTTTTCAGCCCAGGTACTACCCACATTTGGGAAGGAGGCATTTTTTAAATTGCAGCAAGATACACATAACTATGCATAAATCTTACGATCCTCCTTTTAAGCATTTTCAGGGTGCAGCTCTAGAGTGTGAAGCACATTCAGTGCTGTCTGGCTGCCCTTGGCATCCGTTTCTAGAAATTTCTTATCTTCCATCTGAAACTCTGTTTCTAGTAAACACTACCCTCCCTCCCCAGCCCTGGGTGCCCTAGGGCACCACACACACCCCCCACACGCTCCACCGCCACCACCGCCTGTAGCTTGGGGCAGTGTTTGTCTATCCCGACTGGCTGGCTCCAGCTGGCATGTCTCAAGGTCTTTCTGTGCAGCATGAGTCAGAATCCTCTGTCTTTCCAAGGCTGGAATGTTACAGTTTTCCCTCTCTATCTGAGGTGGGGGGTTGGCTTCCACATCCCGGTGGATGCCACAGCTCACTCAGATCCTTAGTACATTTGACCTTGTGTTGGCACAGAACCGACGCAGGCCCTCCACATGCCTTTTATTGCTTTCTGGATGACTTGTTAGACCTAAGACAAGGTAGAAGCAATGTAAATATTAAATATTGAGTCACTTGGGAAATATTCGCATGCACATTCAATACAAGTGGGTTTTTTTCCCTGAATGTTCTTTTTTCTTTCATGTGTTTATGTGTGATATTCATGTGTATATACATGTTAGCTCATATGGGGCACATGTATGTGCTGATTCATGCGCATGTATGTCTGCGTTTGAGGCCAGAGGTTGACACTGAGTATCTTCCTTGATCACTCTCCACTTTTTATTTACTGAGGCAGGGTCTCTTGTTGAACCCAGGGCTTGCTCTCTAGCTCGGTAGGGTGCTCCAAGGATTCTGTCTCAGCCTGCTGAGCACCAAGATTACAGGTGGGCTGTCCAGCTTTTCCGTGGGTGCTGGGGATCTGAACTCTGGTCCTCATACTTTCATGAAAAACATTTTATGCACTAAAGTATCCCCTAACCCCTTTCTTGACCTTTTTTTAAAGATGAGGTCTTACTATGCAGCCCTGGCTGCCCTGAAACTCACTATATAGCCCAGACTAACCTCAAACTCACAGAAATCAACTTGCCTCTTCTTCCTGAGTGCTGGGATGAAAGGTATGTGCCATCACACCCAGATTCCCTGAATGTTCTTGATCAGTAGCTAGTTGAATCTGCCAGGGCAGAAGCTGGAGGTACGGCTCCATTCCGCCACGTGAATAGACCACCTTTGGCCTGTCCATGCTTCAGCTACTGGACATCTGTGCTGTTTCCGCATCTTGCTCTTATGAATGATGCCACCATACTCATGTCTATGCACACACCTACCTCCGGGAATTCTGGATTAGTCTCTACTTGGTCCACACACCAAAATTATCTGCAGCCATCGCAAGTAGCATCCCGGTTGAGAACCACAGGGTTAAGAAATGACTCATTTTCATTTCTGGAAGCTCACTGGCATTCCCTTCCGGAGGTGCAATACAAGAGCATGAGATCCAAGTACCAACCTATAGGGAGGTACCCTTCTGTCTGGGCCTCAGTCTCCTCATCTGTGTGATCAAGCTCACGGCAAGAATGCAGCATCTTCCTGGAGACTCAGCTGTGGACTGTGGGGAGAGTACTCTCTGTAAGCCAGGCTTGATCAAGTCTCACACTAGTGGTACTGTGATGATGTGGAAAAGGCTCAAAGAGGCAGGGCCCACAATGGGAAACGTCCATGGTTCACATGGAGTCAGTCTCTGAGGGGTCCTTCAGGGATGGACCCTAAGGAAAAGGACATAGAAGGGAATGAGATGGCCCAGACCTCATGAGAAGCCCATTTGTGGGCATGCAATGGCCCACCAGTGTGGTAGCTAACGGCACCTCAGCCAGGTAACACGGCTGTAGCATCACTCACATCTCTCCATACCACCAGTTCTTGGATGCTTGCTTTTGGCTGAGGGGCTTTCTCTTTCTCTCCTCTGCAGGTGGTGGGCTCCCAGGCGAGGATCCTGTACTCAGACCAGAAAGGACGTGTGGCCATTGCTGTGGCCATTAACCAGGCCATCGCCAGTGGGAAGATCAAGGTGACGTAGCCTGTGGTGCTTCAGGGAGGCTTCATAAACACCTTATCACACAGGCCCTGCTTGGGCCTTCCCGACGGGGACTTCCTGCTCACACCCCAGTCTGCCCTCCCCACCTCTCCAACCTTCTGAGAGCTGCTCACATCAGCACCCTGACCTTGCAGCAGGGAGATTCCACCCTCCCCTGGCTGAGTTCCTCTCGAAGGCCTTGGACACTGTGGGGCAGATAAGCAGAGGGGCCTAGGGAAGAACTGCTCTGGGAGCCAGGCCCTGCTTGAGAGGCAATGGGGAGGGAAGGAGAGCATGGAGGGCCTAACATCCTCCCAGAGCCCCAGCCCTGATCATACGTCACTGTGCTGGGGGAACTAGAGACAAAGGCTGAGCAGCCTTGTTCGAACACAAGTCCCGACAGTGTCTCTTTTGCTGTGACCTGGGTCACTCTGACCTTGAGTTTTTCAATCTGTGGGAAGAAGAGCATGCTGAAATGTCCAGTGTAGGTGTGAGGATCAAATGAAATACAGTCCACAAAAGTGATGTCACACATCTTTTCTGAGTTATCTTGTTCAAACTGTGACAAATGTCCCCAAGTTCGATTACTTTCCTCACACCTCTGGAGACCCAGAACCCTGAGCCTTGAAGAAGCCGGTTGCTCCTTTCCTTCTTGTTCTGGGTACTTGTGTCCTGTTGCGAGTGGCATTGCTCTGCCAGGAGTACTGGGAGTGCTACTCAGAGGTGAGGGTGAGCTAAAGAAAGGTGTGAGGTGTGGAAGGCCATCCCTGCAGACGGTTCAGGGTCAGAGCCCAGGGTAGCACCGGCAGCAAGAACAACAGCCTGAGCTCTTTGGGGTGCTTCCCAGAATCCCACTGTGTGTGAGGGCTGCTAAGAAGCCCCTGCTGGTATCAATGCTAGCACTCTCCCTCTTTAGTTCATCGGATAGTGTTTGATAGAGTTCTCCTGTGCTGGTGCCTTTCTTGGGACACAGCAGAGGGCAGGATGGACAAGGTCCCAGCTTCAGAGCTGGTGTAATGAAGAGGAGACTGATATATAACTCTTACATATGTAACTGCATAGCTCCTACATAACTGCTAGGAGATGTTTACAGGTGTCATGAGCCCTGGGAAAACACGAGCCAAGTGGTGAGGTAGAGATCCATGGTAGGTCAGGACAGACCTTCCTGAAGTTCTGGCATTTAACTGAACCCTGAATAAGCAGAGAGGCCAGAGAGCAATTTCACTGCAGAGATGAAGTCATAGGCACAGCATGGCCTGCTCAAGAAAGACAAGAGCAGCTGGGGGGTTCTGCAGTGCCATGGAGTCCTCAAGCCTCCCAGCAGGTTGCATCATATTTGGTGAGCCTCTGAAACTCCAAGAACCGCTGTGGACAGTTGAGAACTTTAGCTGTATCTCCTTCATTGTACACTTCCAAAAAGATGCCTGGGCCAGGACTAGGAACAGCATTACCTCATTGGAGCCAAGTGGCAGTCCCCATGGGCTGTGGGAACCAAGGACCACACTTGACAATGCAGGTGCCCACATCTCCTCTGGTGCCATCTTGCTAGCACAGAGTCCCCTCTACCCACTTTTTCCCCTCTGACCTCTTATGGCTCTGGGAAAAGCTTACTTTGATGATGGGACTGCTAGTCACAGCACGAGTGACCTGAGCCCACCTGCCCTCGGCCACACCTGCTGCACCACCAGGGTTAGTGGCACTCCACCACATGGGAACAGGCAGGAAAGCCACCCACTGTGCATCCAGGGTCCCCAGGGGTCCTGAAATCTTTAGACTAGCAGGAGCACTATTGGCACAGGTATGACTGATTGCACCGTGTGATCTTTGTCCTCACAGACACTGGCAGCACAAAAAGGACCCCAGCAATTACCTAGTCCAGATAACCAAGGCCCAGGGAAGGGAGGTGACCTGCTTAACATCACACAAGGAGTTTTGTCCATATCCCTGCTTCTCAGGTCACTAGAGGGCACTTCCTAGTTGTGCTTACCCACACCTACACCCACCCACCTAAAGCTGTCTTCTAGCCCTTTCCCTCACTGCAAAGGCTCAAGAATCAAACTTCCCAAGGGTGGATTCCAGACTTTATATAGCATGTATAGGTTTACACCCCAGCTCACCAGCTTTCAAGCTCTTTGGTGTAGGCCAAGTCCCTTAACCCTTCCTTGCCTCTGTCATCTTGCCTATGAAGTGAGCATGTTAGCAGTCCTGTTATCTGGGTAGGGTTTTGGTGAAGACCTATGCTCTCAGGCTAGTGTATCACACCGATGCACAGGAGCCCACTAGCAGCTTCAGATGCTTCTTGCTAGAGTGTTTAGCAGGACTTTCTTTGGACCCAAAGAATGTGAGATACATCTGTATCTCCCAAATAATGACATGGAAATTTCTTATTAATTATGAAAGCTTGGCCTTAGCTTAGGCTTGTTCCCAACTAGCTCTTAAAATTTAAATTAACTCATTTATAGTAATCTATGTTCTGCCATGTGGCTTGTTACCTCTGCTCTGTACCATGCATCCTACTTCCTCCACATCTGGCTGGCAAATCCCCTGCCTCTAAGATTCTTTCCAGAGTTCCTATCTTTGCCCAGAAGTTCCACCTATCCTCTTCCACCTAGCTATTGGCTGTTCAGCTCTTTGTTAAACCAATCAGAAGATGCCTTGGCAGAGACACATCTTCACAGTGTACAAAATCATTATCCTACAACATTTCCCCCTTTTTGCCTAAATAAAAATGAAAGGTTTTGGCTTTAGCATAGTAAAACTATATATAGCAAGAACAAGTATCAGGTAAAAATTATATTCACAATGTCCAATCCATTTGTATTTGACAACTTTGGAGAAAGTATTTTATTATCTATCCTATCTTGGTGAGTCCAAAGTCTTATACTTAAACCACTTTCTATCATAACTTGTATTACCAACCTAAAAATATCCTTTTAGACCTCAAAATTTTTTCTTAGATAAGCAACTTAAGCTTTTATGTCTCTCAATCTTTATAAAATTTACATCTCTTTTATGTTTCTTTTTGAATTTGGTAACAAGGAAAATTGTAAAACTATAACTATCTAGTCTTCAACTCCCATCAGAGACCTGAGAAAGGTGAAATATTATCTGAGTAAACAGGAAGTACAGAGCAAACAACTTGCAAAACTATAGAAATGATAGAGACAGCTGGCTTCCTGGACAGTCACCAAGTGTTCCTCTGCAATGTTGGGGCATCTATCTTCCACCTACAGACCTAGAATATCTGACCAACTTTTCCATGAAGCAGTAATTTTGAAGGACTGTCCTACCTTGTCTTGGCAAAGTTTAGAAGTCATCTTCTTTTGTGTCTTGCTTGTCCAATTTGGACAGTCATACTGTCAGCAGTAGAGGCAAGGGCAGTTTCTTACCCAGTGGCAAACTTTGCCACAATTGAAAGCAAACTCCATATAGAGGTTCTTCAACACCCATTGTCTTCTCTCAGGTAGATTGGTGCTGTCAGGAGCAGATGTATCTCACAGTCATGAAAAGCCTTATGTTATTAAACATCTTAAATGTCATATTCTGTAGGTCTCTGAAGTGTTTGAAGACCACCTATCTACCTAAAATATATCTGTTTGACCTTGAAAACATACCAAACATGACTACAAGTCATGACTACTAGCCTGCATTTCTTAATTATCCTAAATAGTTTGTAATAATAGCTTTCAAGGACTAGAACTTTACATTTTTAAATGAGTTGCATAGATATAATACCTTAAACAAAAGTAGAAACATATATACAGTATGTTATAACAAAAATAGCCTTAAATTTGTATCAATATACAAAACTCCATAACAATGTAAAATATTTGAGACTAGTAATTGCTTTTTAGTTTAAAAATTGATGCAATAATCTATGCTTTTATCTTATCATTCCTAAAAATGGGTCTATCTTCAAGGGGAAAGAATTCAAAAGGTACCTGGAGTAGCCCCACTTTCAACCTCTGCCTCATGCCAGCAAGCCTGGTAGACACTACTGACTGATATACCTTTCCCTGTCCCCTGCAGGCACCAGTGGTCCTGAGCCGTGATCACCATGATGTGAGTGGCACTGACAGCCCCTTTAGAGAGACTTCCAATATTTATGACGGTTCTGCCTTCTGTGCAGGTGAGGAAAACAAAAGGATTGTTGTCACTTAATATTAGCCGGCTAAGGAGATGCACATCCATAGTCCCAGCACTGCTGGCAGCTGAGTGGGACTGGGAGCTTGAGCTTAAGAATTAGAAGCAGCCTGGGTAACACAGAGAGACCTCATCTCAAAGGGAGGAAGTAGATTCCCTGTCTTCCAGGTTCTGGGCTGCAGGCTTTCCTCCTCCTCCTTCCCCTCCTCCTCCTCCTCCTCCTCCTCCTCCTCCTCCTCTCCCTCCTCTTCCTCCTCTTCCTCACCTAGCACCAGGGAAAGCCTAGATTCCCTGATCTCTGTGAGAACTGGGGTTGGGGGGGATGGAGGTGGATAAAGAGCTAAAGAGGAAGCTGCAGCCTTATGCCTCCAGGGTGGTGAAGCAGCAACAGTCACAGACCTACTCACACTTGTCCCTTAACATGTTAGAGACTTCGAAGAAAACCAGCCGGGGCTCTGCTTCCCCATGGGTGCCTGGTTCCATAGTTTGTTGGGCAGATGGCTGCCCTGTAATGAAGAGCTCTGCCCTGGTGCAGCAAAACAGCTGAGGAGAGACAGAACTGGGCCTGAAATAGTGAGGACCGACTAATTACTTGTAGCCAATGGAGAAGCCTGGCACTGCAGCCAAAGCACCATCCCCCAACAAAGGAAGCCAGAGGCTCTTAATCGGGAAAACACATACATGTACCTGTAGGACGACACCTCACAACTGAGCATGCTCGGACGGAGCCCATGCAGCTTCATACATTGCCCCTTCCAAAAAAAAGAAAAAGTTGGACAAAAATGCCTCCTGGGTAGAGGAGTGTGATAATAAGCAAAATTTTCTCTAAGTCATCTAAAAGAGTTGAGCCAGAATGACTTCTGGTTTTCTCTGGAAAGTCTATTCTGAAGCAAAAGTACTTCTTGGAGGAGGGCTAACAGTATTTAAAGGGACAGCACACCCACTGTGCAGAGGTGATCACCTCTCAAATACCTGTCCAGCGGCCAACATGGGGACCTAACTTCTCTGGTGGAGGCAAGAAGCATCTTTCATCTGCAATCCCTGCCCTAGGCATGAATGCGCATTCAGTGCCAGAGAATGTGGCTGTAGGGAAGGCTAATAGGCATAACTGGGCTTCGTCAGTTTCCCTTACTTCCTCTGTTTCTAGACACCCCCCCCACGCCTCTGTTCCCCACTTGCCCACTGTCACAGTGTTCTTCAGTCCCAAGAGGCAGCCTGTGTCTGTCTGGCCCTCAGACCCCCTGGGAATGACGGCTCGCGCTTGCCCTGTTTCTGCAGACATGGCAGTGCAGAACTTCGTGGGAGATGCCTGTCGTGGTGCCACCTGGGTTGCACTTCACAACGGAGGGGGTGTAGGCTGGTAAGAAGACATCGGAGAGCAGGCTGTGCGCTGATGTGGAGATGTGGGGACCTCTTGGGACAGGGACAGGTCCAGGGGCCGGGGTTCTTGGACTTGGATCCCTGGCCATTTGTTCTATTGAGGGTTTTATGCAAATGCATTCCTCATGTGAAATGGGAGCCAGAGGGTCAGTATGTTGGGGTGTGGAGGATGGAGGAGCAGAGAGGACACTTCTATAAAGCAATTCCAGCAGTTTGGCCCATACCTATCATATAGGACACAAAGGCCAGCATGAGCAACAGCCATGTTGGTTTCCACATTCCCTTTCCCACCATAACGATCTCACTTGAAATAATGGGAGCCCCTGGTTGCCAGGACAGCAGGTTCTAGGCTCCCCACTCTCCCCAGCTCACAGCTATGTTCACACAGCTCACTTTCCAGTCAGCACCAGGGCAGGGTCATTAAGGCCGCCATGGTGGCCTCTATATTAGTCGTCTTTCTATTCCTCTAGCTTGTACAGAGGAAAGGTTTACCTGGTTCACAGCATCACAGGTTGCAGTCCATAGTCAGTTGGTCACACTGTTTTTAGGCAGCACAGCATGACAGGAGCCTCTAGGGATGGGGGCAGAACCATTCATTCGTGACAGGGAAAATAAGAAGAAACCAGGATCCCTTATGATCCTGCAAGGGCACTTCCTCAATGATCGGAAGACCTCCCATGAGGCCTCACTCATTAAAATTTCCACTACCTCCCTCAAGGGAACATTTAAGATCCAACTATAGGGGTTTCATTCTGACTGGCATTGGGCATTCCTCTGTGGCTAAGAGTATTAACTCAGATTCATCAGACATGGAATATCCAGCAACATTTGCTGACCCCTTTCAATCTTCCCTCTCACAGAACCAGACAGAACACAGGCTTCACAGAGGAAGTTTGCCTCTGCTGGGGAGTTTCCTGTCTGGGATCCCCAGAGTAGGCCAAAGCTGGAGCCCTGGCTGCTCTGAGCAGCTAAGGGCACTATGGTCTCAGAGAGGGAGAAGACCTCTGAGCCAGTATGGGCTGGATCCCAGCAAGCCTCTGTCTTGACGAGCCAAGTCCTTCCGTTAACCGGCTTCCCAGAGCATTCGGATGACTGGCTTGGCCTCATGCCCACCAAGGCTGGCATTCCAAGCTGCAGCTCTGTCAGGTGGCTTTAATTAGTGGAAAATGTGACCATAGTGCATGTCCTGGCTGGAGAAGAACAAGACAAGAGTTCCCTGGGTATGGGGTGCCTGGGAGGGGACAACTGTGACTGTAAAAAAGACTGAAGTTTGTCCAAAGCCTCACAAGACCAAAGCAGCAGGCAGCCTAGGGATCCAGTAGGGGGGATGTGGGAAGCCCCGGGTTCTAGCATTATTGCAGAAAGGGTTGAGGAACCTGGCTCACGCTGCTGCTTCTCCAAGGATAAGCCACACCCAGTTCTGTGGCTTTAGTGTCTTCCTCATTTGACAGGAATCTATGTTTCTGAGCTGTTTGTCCTCAGGCTTCTTGACTTACTTCTTCACTTCCTGGACTGTCTACCGGTGCCCTGGGGAATGGCTCTTCTCTGTGCAAGGTCATCACCCACAGCTGTGTGCATGGGTACATTCCATTTTAGCGTACTCCACGGTCCCTCTTTTGGAGTGTCCGCTTGATGACTTCTTCTGTGCTTGTGTGTCCACTGGCCATGCTTAGTGAGAGCACCAGCTGGCTTCAGTTCCATGTGCTCCAGGCTGTGTCTGCAGGGCAGGGCCATTTGGCCGAGTCACTGAGTGGGAGAGATTGTACCTTAGCAAAGACTTCTCTGGGCTATTTCTATAGGAAAGGATTGCAAGGGGGTAGACTTTATGTGTCACAGAATCATTTCAGAGACCAGGTGAGTCAACTCAGGCAGCCTCCGGGCAGTCAATGCATCTGGGTAACTAGCAGCCCACATGGGCATGGCAGCTTCCAGGCAACCTTCCGGTTCATTCTTCCATTCACTCTTCATGGCCACTTCAGAGGGGCCTGAGAAGCAACCTCCTTCCCTTCTCAGAGCACGTCCCAGACCAGAGTGTAGCTCAGTAACAGAGCACTCGTCTAGCATGTACAAAGCCCTGGGTACAACGAGAAAGACTGCTCCCCATTCTGGTGGGTAAGCAGGCATCACGCAGAGGGTGACACAGAGAGGATCTCAGAGGTATACGTGAAGTGGACAAGACCAGCTCAGAAGCATAACTGGCTGAGAAGCCAGGATGTCGCCACTCTGTGCTGCTGACCACATGGCTCTGTGATGTAGAGTCCAGTGTGACAAGCCCCCCCACCAATGCTGATATCTTTTCAAACCAATGCCTGAAGCCTTGCATGATGCCTGCTCCAAGAAAGTCAATACAGGGAGTGAGCTGGGAACCTCTTTGTCTCTTGCAGGGGCGAGGTGATCAATGGGGGATTTGGCCTTGTACTAGATGGGTCCGCACAGGCTGAGCAGAAAGCCAGGATGATGCTCAGCTGGGATGTCTCCAATGGTGTAAGTCCCCTGGAACTCCTCAGCTTCTCACTGTCTCCCCTCCTCCATGGCTCTGCCTCCAGGTTGGAAGTCTGGGCTAGAGTTCTGACCCTTCCCTAGTAAGGGCCTCTACTGTCTTTCTAGCCCTTTTCCGCTCCCTCTCTTTTTAAAGATTTATTTATTTTTATTTGATTTTATGTGTATGAGTGTTTTGCCAGCATGTATACACACTCTGTGTATGCCTGGTGTCCTGAGAGGTCAGAAGAAGGCATCAGAGCCCTTGGAACTGGAGATACTGATGGTTGTGAGGCACCATGTGGGTGCTGGGAACTGAACCTAGGTCCTCTGGAAGAGCAGACAGTGCTCTTAACTGCTGAGCCATCTCTCCAGACCCCAGGACTCCCTTTTCACCACCCCTTCCCAACTATTTCCACACTTTCCTTTGGGTCTTCTTGTCTCTGGTCTCACTCTGAAGTCTAGCCTCTGTAAATGCAGCTAGACCCTGGCAGGCTCAGCCCTTCCTCCTGAAGCACCCCCTATACTGGTATTGAGGCCTTACTTTTTGGGGGTTGGAATGGAACCCAGGGCCCCAGGCATGTTGGCCTCTGTCATTTTGCTGTGCCTTGGCCTCATGATCTCCCTTTTAAGGCTCATCTTTCCCTGCTTCGTGTTGCTGTCTGGGTGGCCTTTGCCCATATCAGGCAGGTGCTATACCCCAGCTACACCAGCCCTCACTGCCGCCTTCAAAGGCAGCCAAAGAGAATATTTCAGAATCCAGATGGGCCTTTCATCCTGCAGCTATGACCCATCTTTGCAGTAACACAGCATCCTGAGAGGGAAAGGGGGCAGATTCCTCCCCCAAACCACATCACAGATAGCCCAGAAGGGTCGACCTGAGGTCAGAGGTCAGGTAATGATGAGGAAAGATGTATAGGGTGTGAGCAAACCGAAGAGGGATTCCAGAGCAAAGGACCAGAGTGAAGACAGTAGCTCTGGATGACTGAGGCTGCACCCAGAGGCAGGGAGAAGGGAGGGTCCTCTGGCAGGGCCACTCACCAGTAACCACTAAACTTCAGCACTTCAACAGGGGGTAGGGGCTCGGGGGTGGAGGGGAGCTACATCCTGGCACTAGGAGTTGGAGTGAGCCAAGATGGGGTTTCCTCCCAGGAGACCTCACTGTCAGTGGTGTGGATATAGGCCAGGGGTGGCTTGGGGATGGTGGGTGGCAGCTAGATGGGGAGGTGCCGTGGTCACCATTTAGGACAGACCAGGCATAAGAGAGGAAGCGGGCTAGGGAGGGATGGCATAGCTGATGCTGAAGATTCTGAAGGGGGAAAGGATGGAAGCTAGGGATGAGCTTGTTCTGTCCAGGGAGTGCCCTCTATAATGCCAGGCCATTCTTAGAGGTGGGGATAGGGCTGGGTAGAATAATAACTGGTTTCAGACCGAAAAGAGGGTAAGTCAGTTACATGTTCCAGGGAAGAGAGCAGGGATTCTAAGCCTGGCAGATACAAAGGAGGCTCTGAAATCCCCAAGTAGAAGAGGACATGGAGTTTGGGAGCCAGGCTGCCTTGTGGAGAGCCCAGTGGTGCTGACACCAGTGCTGTCTGCTCGGCTTCCGCAGGTGGCGCGGCGCTGCTGGTCTGGGAACCCCAAGGCCTATGAGATCATCTGCCAGACAATGCAGGAGAACAGTGGCCTGGCGGTGACACTTCCCCACGAGGTGGTAGATGAACGAGTGCTACAGCAGGCCCTGCGGCCCTGAGAAGAGCCAGGGTCTGCTTGACCCTCTCCTTCCCACTGCCCTCCCCTCTCAGATCACCGCCCTCCTCCCTCACTGCACCCTATATAGCTCTCCTAATGCCCCACAAGGTGAACCACAGCGGCCTATCAAGGTGGAAGCCCTGGTCTTTGACCAGTGGATTGAGAGCCCTCCGACGACAATAGACACATCTTGTTTACGGGCAGGTCCTTAAGACTGCAGTAGAGTGGACTCCAGCTTAGATGGCCAAGCTGGCACCAGCCTCCCAGGATTCTGTGACCTTCTCAAAGGGATGTTCAGTCTCCTGTCTACCACCGTCCCCACACTGCTTTCCTAGCTATCCTCCCATCCCTTGTCTGTGCCATCACTTCCGGTTCTTCAGAGAACCAGGGATGGGTACACAAAGTGCCCACACCAGGTCCCTGATGCTGATGAGTATAGGGAGGAGAGAGACAGGAAATAAAGAATAAAGGAGAGGCGAGTACATGGCGTAACCTGGGCTAGCGGGAGTGGGTAGCACAGTGTCTGAGGCAAAATGGCCAGGTGCTGGGGCACATGGAGAGAAGACACTTTCCAGGTCAGCTGTGTGAACCTGAAAAACAGAACCAACCACTTCCTGAGGTCCCTGGGTGTCTGTTTGGGAACTGGAATCCTGCAGGAGTTGCATTGGCCTAAAGCTGGGATCTTGCACCCTTCCCAGACCAACCAACCAGATCTACACCAAGACTTGCCTCTGGAGCAGGGGCCCTGGCAAAGAGAATTGGGTAGCTGTGCTTCCTTGGGCCTGCCTCTGAAGTTGCTACTACTTTATAGTGCCTCCTACCTCCCAACCCCCAGCTTCAGGTCCCTCCCACCACACTGTTCCCTGTGCCCTCTCTTCAATCTTCCCCAGGCCAGCTCTCCTGATGTGTTTACCATGGGCTTGTTGTCCCCAACGCTGAGTCAGGGCTAAAAAACAACCTAAAGATGGATGAGAGAAAAGGAAAAGAAAGAAAGACCCCTGAGACCACTGGCCTGGCCCCAGAGAAGTTGTGCTACTGTGGAAATATCTGCCATGTTTGACTCATACTGACATAGGACCAGACAGAAGGAACCCTTTGCCTTCCCTAGAGTGCCACAGGAAGGACATGAGGGTCCTCCAGCAACCCCTGTCCAGGATAGACCACGATGCCCTGCTATGGGAGCAGGACTGAGAGATTTGGGTGTGGATAGTCCTACTTCACTGTCATGAGCAAACATTGATCTTACTTAGACTTAAGGAGACACCGGGCCTTAGGCAAATGTAATTAAGTCTGATACAAACACAAAAGGATGTTTTATTATGATGTTACCATAATCGACTATGCAAGGCAATTAACAAAGAGAAAAGCATTTTTTTGGCTGACCGTTCTGGAGGTCCCCACCAAAGATCAAGAAGTTATATTGCTTTGGGCTTCTGGCAACAGTGCCAAATGGCAACGTCAGGGGGCACATGGCAGAACAAAATGCTTACACTACGAGCCAGGAGGCAAAGAGGGAAGTTTGGACCCAAGCCCTACAATCCCTTCAGGGCCTGTTCCCAATGACCTAAAGACCTCCCACTAGCTCTGCCGCTAAAGTTCCACCACTTCCCAAGACCCCCTCTGAATAAGACGAGCCATAGCAGAGGTCAACACTTGCTTCCTGTTCTCTTGGTCTGTGTTTCTTGCATAAAATAAAAATTTTCCTAAATCAAAAAGTAAGTGTAGAGCCAGACATCCTTCAGTGAGGGGCCAGGGCCTCTCAGCCTCAGTTTCCAAATATGCCCTGCACAGCCATAATGCCTGGATCTCTGTTGAGAGGTACCCTTGGTTTTCCTTTATTCTCTATGTAGTATCACAGCAGGGAATCAGGCAGAGGCTGGCACTGGAGTAGAACCCTCCACACCCATACCGTGTGTGTGCTGTTGTCATGTGGAGCCCCAGCCTTTCCCTGTAGAGGAACTTTCCTGCACTGTGAAGGGTACAGCAGGTAACAGTCAGAACAAGTGGCTGGCCCTTGTCTTCCGACAGAATGGATACCTCATGTGGCACATCCAGCATTTGGATGTGGTTAGTGTGACCAGGAAGCTGAATTGTAAATTTTGACATTTTAATTCATTTAAAGTAAATTTAGTTCTAGTTCATATAAGAGTAACTGAAATGTAATGAGATTATAAGTATAGCCTGGGGCTATTCTGTTTTTTTTTCTCCTAAAAGCCGGGAATATGTTTATTTATAAAAATGCAATCCTTATAAGACATTGGGGGAGGCTCAGTGGTAGAACATATACTTAGTACACACACACACACACACACACACACACACACACACACACACACACACACACTAGTATATACACACACTAAAATAAAGTAAAATTTAGCTGGACAGATAAATACATATGACAGCATTCAAAAACAACAAGCCACCATCTTGTGAAGAGATACTGAAATGTGCCTACCAACACGTAGTATGGATAGTCAGGGCTCAGCGGTGTGCAGTGGCCCTGTCCTGGCTGGCCTCCTCTGTTGCCTGTGAGGCCAGTTTTGCTCATATTCCTCACTAGGTTCCCTGCCTCCATTCTCAGCCTAATTGTACTCCTGGGGAGATCCTTGCAAAGTGCAACAACACCGTATCATACCTCTGCCCGAAAACCACAGTGGCTTCTCTGATCCTCGCTGGAGCCAGGACTTGAGCACCCCGACCTGGAAGGGCTAACAGAAGAAGTGTTCCTTGGAGACAGTCCAGCAGCAGGTAGAAGGAAACCCGGGTCTGGAGGGTTAGAGAAACCAGAGGAGAATGAGTAGTGCACGTCGGCAAGATGAGTCCTTGCAAACCCGGGAGGCTGAATCCACCCCATAATAGATGTCCTAAAAGCTACTGAGACACTTTTGAAACAGCAGAGAACATAGAATAAGGTCTATATGCTATCTGCTGCTTTTCAATACATCTTCTTTTTTCTTTTATTGTAGTAAAACACAACAAAGTTTACTGTCCCATCCACTTTCCAGGCTGCAAAACAGTGATCCGGAGCATTCCATGATGCAATGCAGCAGTCCCCACCACCCAGGTCTAGGGGCTTGTCATCACCCCAAGATGACACTGTCCCCTCCCTGCTGTCTTCCTATGTATCATGTGCTCCAGAGACCTCACAGATGGAGACTCACATAGTTCGTGCCCTTCTGTGACTGGCTTACTCACCCAGGGTCATGTCCTAGGGTCTATCCACTTGGCAGCATGTAGCAGAACACCCTTCTATGCTAAGGCTGAGTAAGACTGCACTGGACCACATTTGCTTAGCCATTCAGCCACTGAGGGACTCCTGGGATGCTGTGAATGTTGCTGTGGGCACAGGTGTGTGTGTGTCTACCCGAGTCCCTGCTTTCAGCTCTTTTGCACCTAGAACTCTAAGGATTGGATCACATGATAATTCTATGTTTTTAAGGAACTATCAAAACATTTTCCATAGTAGAAAAATAATTTCTAATCTAGAATTTAATTTCTAAACTACTTGCTTGTGATCTAAAACAAATCAACTAAGGTCAGTGAGATAGATCAGTGCTTAAAGGCACCTGCTACCAAGCCTGATGAACTGAGTTCAACCCCCAGAACCTACATGATGGAAAGATTCAACTGACTGCTGTGTCCTCTGACCCCCATATACCAAACACAACACACACACACACACACACACACACACACACACACACACACACACACAAAAAAAAAAAAAAAAAACTAATTAACAATAAACTCAATAGTGCCAAAGGGAACCTAGGGTATACTCAAAGCCCTTCTCCCCACCCCACCACAGAAGCGGCATCAAGGATCTTTCTGGAAATTTTTTTTCAGAGTATGTATGCATAGGCACAGATATGCAATGTTCTTTCTATACAAACAAATGGGATCTTCCTATTTCTGTGTTGACTTTCAAACGTTTTTTAACTGAAACATACATGAGTCATTGCTGTCAAGTTCATTGTTAGTAGTTTTTGTATATCAGAAGTGCTGTTTAATCAGCACCTCTAATGCAAAACATTTTGCTCCATAGAGAAGCCCTCACTATTATAAGCTAGCCCTAATTCCCCATCTCCCTGTAGCCACCAGTGGCCACTAATCAACTGTCTGACAGACTTAGCTCTTCTGGACATTTCATATACACGGCATTATCATAAGACATCTTTCATAAATTTTCCATAGGTTTGGGCATGATAAATTTGCAATATTTTATGTTATAGTTCAAAAATATTCCACTGTATGAACACATATTCATCTGATGATGAAAAATTGGGTTGTTTCCCCTGGGGAGTTGTGATAACTAAGGCTACTATGAATATTCATGTGGTTTATGTGTGGACGTATTTCCATCCCTCTTGGAGTAGATACAAGGGGAGGGGCATAGTCTTGCATATTAAGGGATAGACTGGTGGGAATGGGGGTAAATCGGGTGTGGGTGCAAAGGGCAGGTTGGCAAGGTTTTAATAGTATTTGCACTTTCAGAAGATTAAATCCTGCTCTGCAGAAAACAGGGTGGGGGGTGGGGGGCGGTTGGGTGAAGGGAGGTTGAGGACTGACCCCTTAGTTATTTGAGAATGTAGGAGTGCAATGGGTTTGAATTTGGGTGGTGATGACAGAAATGGAGGGACTCCAGATAAACCCGTATGGCAGAAGTGGGGCAGCCGAGTCCAGGGAACAACTACCAATGTAAAAGGCTCACACTGTCAAGGCAACAAGGGAATGCCCTTGGTGGCATAGGCAGGGATCCATCCAGGATATGCTTCGGAGCAAGTCACGTTTGTGGTCCAGTAGTACCAGGTAGATGTGCACTTCAGCAAGGTCATAGAGAAGATGTCAAGCAAAGTGGAGTGGTTCAAAGCCTGACTGCAAGTTCTAGGCCATATGGCCCCAGATAAACTGGACATCTGTTTCCTCACACCTGGCAATCACAGACTGATTTAGCTCATATTTTCAAAGCACAGAAGGCACGAGGAACGCTGACGAGGTGCGACTACCTTCCATTCCTTTGCGCTACCCAGATGCAAAAGGAGGGGCTGAAGACCCTCTTCTCTCAATCTGGGACTCACACCAAAGTACACAGAAGTTGGAGGCCCCGCCCCTGCCCCACCCCCGGAGCCCTCGTGACTACAGTCCCGGCAGCCCTCGCGCGCCACGCCCACCGCTCTTGCGCACGCGCAGCTGGAGATGCGACTCGGGGCCGTACTCTACGCGGAGCTTTGACAGAGACTCCCAGAGGGGTGGTGGGGCGGACCCTTGGTGTCGCGCGCATGCTTGGCAGGGCCGGGCCGCTCTTCTCCTGAGGCTGTGGCCCGGACGCCTCAGCTGGGCCTAAGATGGACCTCCCGGCCGTGCTCGCCGCCCCGGTCGCGCGCGGAGACCAACATGGCGGTGGCCCAAGCCGACTTCGCCGCGGCGCGGGGCCATCCCTCGGTGCGGGCCCGGGGCGCCGCCGCCTGCTGCTGCTCAGGGGCCCGGAAGATGGCGGTCCCGGGCCGCGTCAGGAGGAGGCCCCGGGGCCGAGCCCGCCGCCCTCCGAGGACGGCGGCGACTCCTTCGTGGTACTGCTGGAAGTGCCGCGCGCCGCGGCCGACGCCCACGGACAGGAGGAGGCGGAACCCGGCCCCTGCGCGAGCCCCCCGGAGCAGGTCCCGGCCGCCGCCCCCGGCGCGGCTCTGGCGGGCACCGTCACCATCCACAACCAGGACCTCCTGGTGCGCTTCGATCGCGGCGTCTTCACGCTGGCCGCTGCGCCCGCGCCAGCTGCCCCGAGCCTGCATCCCGCGACTACCCCAGGCCCGGAGCCCTCGAGCGCCTGTGTGTCCCGCCGCGGGCCGGCGGCCGCCAGCGCTGCCTCTCCAGCCTACCGCTGTCCGGAGCCGCAGTGCGCGCTGAGCTTCGCCAAGAAGCACCAGCTGAAGGTGCACCTGCTGACGCACGGCAGCCTCCAGGGCCGGCGGCCCTTCAAGTGCCCGCTGGATGGCTGCGGCTGGGCCTTCACCACCTCCTACAAGCTCAAACGACACCTGCAGTCGCACGACAAGCTGCGGCCCTTTGGCTGCCCGGTGGGCGGCTGCGGCAAGAAGTTCACCACAGTGTACAACCTCAAGGCGCACATGAAGGGCCACGAGCAGGAGAGCCTGTTCAAGTGCGAGGTGTGCGCCGAGCGCTTCCCCACCCACGCCAAGCTCAACTCCCACCAGCGCAGCCACTTCGAGCCCGAGCGCCCCTACAAGTGTGATTTCCCCGGTGAGCGGGAGCCGCGGAGCTGCGGGGGCGGGCGGGACCCGACGGTGTCTGGATCAGGGGTGAAGCTCTGTTGTTGTTGTTTGGGCAGGGTTTACCGGGGATGCCCTAATCTAAGTGAGAAGCGTGCAAAAAAAAAAAAAAAAAAAAAAACACTCCCGTGTTTGTGTTCACGTTCCTTTCAGGTAGTTAGATGTGAAACCTTGGGTTCCTACAGCGAAGTGGCATGCATAGTCACAGCTGCCCCTGGGGGAGGCCACGAGCCCTTTGTTAAGATGCTTCCTATGAAAGTGACCACTTCTTCTCAGAGTTGAGTTGAGTCGGGACTTTATTTTTCTCAATCTACTCAAGTATATGAGATGAGTCAGAGATCCAAGACTATAAGGCCAAATATGCCACTTTAAATTACTGAGGGAATTACAGTGCTTCTCTGGACCTTCTCCAGCCTCTGTGGAAGCCCCACGGATTAGCGGACACAGAGCCCCCAGGGATACCTCATGCTTTAAATACTGTCCTTCCCAGTATTATCCAGGGTGATGCTCCTTCACCAGAATGAGCCTCTGCCCCCACCATCAGGTGTGTGGCACATCTGTTTTTGTGTCTTTCATACTTTATTTTTGTCAGACTTCTTAGTTTCTGGGATCATGTCTATTCTCTTCTATACTGTTAGCCAGCACCTAGCATGCACATTAACATGTGTACACATTCTGTTCTCTTAATAACATGCGTTATTATAGAGTATGCTCATATGTAGGGTTTAGCAACAGATTCTAGTATTCTTACATGCCCACAAACTATCTGATACACTCTGATTGAACACCTTCTGCAATCATTTCCTGATGTGAGAATGGTGTCTGCAGGCCTCACCCTGGTGAAGGTAGCATCATTCTGTGTGTGTTGTACTGTGTGAAGGACAGGGATTCACTTCAAAGCATCAGGTGCCCCATCAGTTGGGCTTTCCATAGAAGCTGGGAGAGGGACTGGGGGAGCACCATTAAGTGTCCAGTCAAGGAGGGATTCTTTTGACAACATGGGCCAGAAAGTGGCGGTGGGAATGGTAGAGGGCTTCAGGTAAAAGATCGCAGAGGGAGGAAGAAAGAGCATGGCTATTGATTGGGGGTGATGAGGGCTGTTGCTAAGGCAGAGAATGCTAATGTTCAGTTACATCCTAAGTAGCAAAGGGAACAGACTGAAGCTAACTATGGAAGAGGACTTTTGGATGGGGCAGAGATTCCCTAGGCTGCTACTTTTATTCAGGGTTGTGCAGTGCTTCACAGTCTAGTGATAGCATTTTGGGGACTCTGAGGAAGAGCTGCAACAGAGATAGCATTTTCAGCTTTTTATTTTCCACCCTGTTTGAGCCCCAGACATTTTTGTCAAAGAAGTGTTGATGTAGGAATTGCTGAGGTGTAGGTTGCTTGGGCTGATGGGGTCGGGTGGGGTGGGGCTGTGAGGATGGAAGTGAAGTTGACAAGAACTGAGGAAATAAGAAAAAGAAAAAGAGACCAGATGATAATGTGGGGCTGCCAGTCGGAGAGGCTGGAGGAAATGGAAAAGTGTGGGGGATGCACATTTATCCTCCAGTGGGATAGAAAATCTTAGCTAGCGGGATGGTTGCAGCCTGCAAAGCTGTGGGAGACTTGATCGTTAGTGTTTTTTGTTCGGCTGATTTCTTGGGTTTCACTCAGACAGCATTGCCAGCTGGGTTTGTGGAAGACACGCCTAGTTTATGCAGAATTGGCTACAGAGCTGGCTGGCCAAGGCTGTGTTTGGAGGACATCCTCTTAATCACTTGTGTCATCTCCACATAACACTGGGGCAGGTGGCCTGTGTGTGCTACCCCTACTGTAGCTTCTAGAAAGCCAAATATTGGTGGACAGGGCTTTGCAGAAATGGTTTCCGAGTCATATCTTTCCTTGTCTGCTCATTGTGAATGTGCCCCAGGCTGTAGACAATGTAAGTATACTGTGTGCTTTGTCGTCCTATGATCTAAGTTTCTGCTTCCTTCATTCAGGCTGTGAGAAGACTTTCATCACAGTGAGTGCCCTGTTTTCCCATAACCGAGCCCACTTCAGGGAACAAGAGCTCTTTTCCTGCTCCTTTCCTGGATGCAATAAACAATATGACAAAGCCTGCCGACTGAAAATTCACCTGCGAAGTCATACAGGTACGAGCTGGAGGGTGCACCACAGGGTGGACCCATACTTTGTGGTAGCTATTGTGTTCATAGTCATGCTGTGTCATTTTTTCCTTTTACAAGGTGAAAGACCATTTATTTGTGACTCAGACAGTTGTGGCTGGACCTTCACTAGCATGTCCAAACTTCTAAGGCACAAAAGGTAAACTTTACATTTTGTTATTTATGTTCTGAAAGCACATGAAGTGTGTGTCACAGAACACTTTGAGTTATGTTCAGATTTCAAGCTATTTAAAATGGAGCTCAGTGTCAATGTT